TGGCTCCCTGTCCCCCTTGATAAGTGGTGTCTCCTGGTAGCAGAATGGCAGTTCCCTGAGGACAGGGCTTGCTTGTGTTTGCACCCACTGCTGAGCTCTTTTCATTCATGGTGCTACAGGTGAGTCAGGGAGCGCCTGTTATTATCATCCCCTTTCTACAGGTTAGAAAACGGAGACTCAGAATTGAAGAGACTAGCACAGAGTGTAAGTCTTTGAGCCTAGCCGGAACTCTGGTCTGAGAGGCCAGCGTTTGCTCCCCTCCACCCCCACCTGGCTCAATACATAGATTTGGAGAGGATCACATTTCCTCACTAACTGAAAGAAATCCTTTTGAAAAGGAGGGAGTGTGATGGGGCTGCCTGGAGGCAGGAAGTACTTACAGCCCTTCAGCTTGGGTTATTTTCAGAACAGCTGTCTCTACGCTTAAGCGAACTTCTATGAGTCGTCCTTTGTGCTCCCAGCTCAGAGGAAGCAGCTGGTGGGGGCCCGGGTGCGGGTCAGTAGCCCGGCTGGGCGGGGCAGGGACCACACCAGCATGGGGGGGGGGAGGCACCCACGGGTTCACTACCAGGTGGGTCAAGAGGAGGCAAGGAGGCTCTCGACATGTCTCTGTGTGGCCCAGAAGAGCTGGAGCTGCCAGGACCAGGGACCCCAAAGAAGGTGACTGGACAGACACCCCGCTAAGGAGGACGTGAGACCCAGAGGGTGTTCTTCAGAGAAAAATGGGAGAGGGAACCTGGACACTGCTTCTGAATCCAAAATCTCCCCGGTATAGCACCTCGTGGCCAGCTCAGCTGACCTGTCCCTCGGCCAGAATCCCCGCATCCCGGGATGTCCCAGACCTCAGGACCTGGCTCAGCCTCCTGAGGATGCCCGGCAGCCTTCCAGACTGCGCCAGTCTGCCAGGCCTCAGTCTGCCTGGCTGCAGTTCACACCTGAAGCATCAGGTTCTGTCCTCTAGGGTTAAGAGGAGTCGTCGCATTTTCCTCCACTGTTTCCACTCACTTAAACACAATTCCCATGCCCTCCACTAAATCTCCTCTCCAGGCTAAACACCTCCAGGTCCTTTAATTAATTCTTATGGAGCTATCAGGCAGCATAGCACTGTGGTCAGCACACAATGCGTGCCTCAGTTTCCTCTTCTGTAAGGTGGGAGCAATTCAATTAATCAGAGAAAGACGCGAGGGAAGTTCAACGTCAAGAAGGAGCATTATGTCAAGAAGCCTGGGCCAAGAGGCTGGTGTCACACAGGCCAGGGTCGAGGCCCAGGGAAGCGAGGAAGGACGGAGGAGGAAAACTTGGGCCTGGCCCTTTCTGGTACTAGAGAAATCAGGGAAGTGGGGAACCCCAAATACTGAAGTGCAGTCTGGCCCGATACCTTGCTTCACTGGTGCTGGGTCAGGTGGGCTGTCTGGGTCTAAGAGGAGGGAGGACTTCCTAGTGGAAAGCGGGGCTCTTCCACAAACCTTCTCTCTGTATTTCTCCTGTAGTTAACCAAGCCCTTTGCTGTGGCCGGTGATTAGCCTGAGTGAGCTCTTGGCCTGGCAAGTCTGAGGCTCAGTGCCTCCCACAAATGGAAGCACTTACTCTGTGGTTGGGTTGGGTTGGCTGAAGTTTACCTGACCGACTGGAAGCCGGGCCCTGCCAGTCCTGGGATTTCCCTGGGGGCCAGAGGGGCAGAGAGCCCAGGTGAAAGAGGATCACTTTGTACCTGGGTCTTTGTGCAAGGCGGAGCCCTCACACCGGGTACAGAATGGACTCCAAGGAACCTTCAGGGCCATCGTGAGTCTGCACAATGATCTGCTCATTCTGAAGAGGAGAAAACTGAAGCCTAGAGAGAGGGATCTTCCCAAGGTCACTTAGCTCCGACATGAAGTCAGGCCTTCTGACTCAAAGCCAATGCTTCTGCCCCCACCTGGACCCTGCTACAGCTCTGGGCTCCTTTCTGGGCCTCACCCACACTAGGAATCCCTAGGAGACTCCCCTTATCGGTGCTCCCTGAGGCACTGTAACTGCCTCATTGTCCTGGGTCACTGCGCTGACTCAGGAGACCCAGGACAGGATGGGGTTCTCCAGGCCTTCAGAGCTGGGCAGCCCTCAGAGGCCAGTCAGGCCCACAGAAATCCCTGCTGCAGGGTCCGCCACAAGGGGATGTCCACTCCAAGTCCTGGGAAGGGTGCCAGAGGCAACCCTGGTCCCTCCAGGTCCCTCCAGGTCCCTCCTGGTCAGCCCTAACAGGTAGAAGGTTTCCCTAAAGCAGCTCAGTCTAGGCCAGGGGATCCATGTCAGAGGAAGGCCTCGAACCCAAGCCTCCCCGACCCCAGGGCCAGCTCTCTGATGACTAAGCCAAGCAGCCTCTAGAGGAACTAGACCTTGAGCCCACATTCCAGAACTTCTCTGACCCCTCAGGCTGTATGGTGAATGGGGATAACAATGGGGACAGCCCCAGGCTGTGAGGAAATCACTCGTAACTCTGCCACCAAAGCCCCATGCTGCTCCGTCTTCAGGGACACCTGGAAGCCAGCCTGTTATTTGATCCTTCAATGTCTTGGAGCAGGCCATGGGGCCCACGGGTGACAGCCTGCCAGGCCTGTTGGGGCCCACAGACCTGGCTGGGCAGGGACAGAAACAGAGGAGACTGGGAAACACAAAACCGGCCAGCTTCTTAGCCAGGGGTGCCTCTGCACTTAGCGCAATGCCAGGCCCTGGGAGGCACTGCTTGATTGACTGAGAACATCTCTACTTTTTAACAGTCTGCTTTTCCAGGCGACTCCATGAGAGGAGCTCCTTGGAGCTCCGTGGGTCTGGGGGCCAGGTGGCTGGCCAGTGCCTTTCCAGGAAGCCAGGAGGAGAAGCTGAGCTGGTTCCTTGGAACCCCGGGCATTGTGAGGCCCATGGCTGGCGAGCCAAAGGCAGCGCTACCAGAAGGCTATCAGTGCTGCCATCTAGGCGGAGCAGCCAAGACTCACTTCCTCCTGGGCCCTGCTGCTTTCACAACCAATGATTTCATTTCACTCCCTCTGCATTAGGGTTGGAACCAGGCTTCTGTAAAATGAGATGGCCATACCGGACTGACCATGGGGTCTTAACCCCCCCGGGGTCCCTGGATGGGTTTCAGGGCATCAGTGAATGTGGATAGGAGAATGTTCACCTTTGGCTCCCACTGTAATGCCATGTCTTCTGTACCTATTTAGGGGAAGGGTCCAAGGCTTCACCAGACTGATTGCCAGGGGTTCCAGGACTGAAACCCTGGATTAGAGGATTAGAGATGGATGAGCACACAAAGATGGACCTGGGAGGGTTGGGCCTGGAGAGGCGTGGGGGCAGGGGGCCACAAGCCCATTTTAGGTGTCTGAAGGGCTGCCCCCTCTGTCTGCTCTGGGCCCTGGAGGGTAGAACCAGGAGCTAAGTGGAGAAGCTGGGGAGAGGTGCCTAACACAGTTCCAGTCACATATTGGCCACTTCATAAATGCCGATTGATTGGCTGAGTGATTATAGATTGATTGCCGGGGCTCTGGACCTGGCCGTCACACTTCCTAACAACCAGGGCTGTCCAAGTGTAGAAAGGTCTTGCCATACTGGTAGGGGTGGGGGCCGGGCCACGCATTCACCAAGCAGATCTTCCAGCTCTGGCTGGCAGACCATTTGTCGGAGATGTTGGGGTTCTGGGTCTTGGACTGGTGGCCTTGGAGGTCCCTTCCAAGGCCAATGCTGGTCATAACACGGTAGGACGCTCATGCCTCCCCCTCTACCCCGTCTCCATTAAGGGAGTGGGAAAATGGCTGGAAGGCCCAGGTTTCAACTCAGACTTTCTAGGTTCGGTTACACCGGCCTCCACCCTATTTGTCTGGGCCCAAACGGTCGGAGACAGGATAGCAACAGCTATGGGTGGCGCTACGGAGGGGGAAGGGAAGAGAAAAGAGGAGGACAGAGGCCAAAGGAAAGAATTGGAGAGGGGAGGGGAGGGGAGGGAAGAAGGGGGGCTAGGAGCTAGAAACCACAGCAGCAGGGAGCTGGGGGCGGGCCAGCGCAGGAGAAAGCCTCGGAGTCGGAGCCTAAAGAGGAGGGGACAGATCCGACTGGGACGGGCAGGGGAAGAAGGGGAGAGGGCACCGGGGGCTGGGCTGGCACCCTGGCTCTCCTACCCCCACGGGACCCAACGAATCCGGAGCCGAGGAAGCCAGGCTCTGCCCCCTTACCCCTGGGGTTGGCGAAGGTTTCTGGCACCTGCTCGGTTGAGCCAGCGGCCAAACCGGTGCCCAGACCAGTAGGGGCAAAGGACAGACGCCAGCGCTTCTGAAGTCGGCCAGCGGGTTTCCTTCCCTCCCAGACCCCTGGCTGTGGCCCAGGTCTCTAGTGGTCGATAGATAGGGAGGGTGAGCGGGCCCTGTGACCGGCTGGCCCTTCCTAGTGTTGGCGGAATGTTGGGCGATCCTGGAGCTCAGCGCCGGGAGGGCCTTTAGAGACGACCTAGGAGTCCGAACCTCTCGTTGCACAGAGAGGGAAACTGAGGCCCGGACAGGGGGACGCCACAGACCCAGGTTCCTGGGACAGACGCAGTGTCCTCCGAGTCTCCACCCCGGACCTTTCACAAGACATTGATAACCTCGTCTAAGACAAGTTGGGAGAGGGGAGAGGTGGCTAAAACGTCCACGGCAAACCCCGAGAACCCGCCCGGGCCGGCTGTCCAGCCCACCCCCACCCTGAGCCCCCAGCTCTAATCACACAAAGCCTCGGGCCGGCCGGGGTCGCCCCCGCCCCCAGCCCAGCGCCCGCGCGCCTCCCGCAGCCAGGTCCCAGCCCCTCCGCCAGCCCCGATTTATGAATGGCCGCGAGCCCGGGGATCCTCCGGCCCATTGTGACGTCAGCCCCCGCCCCCACCCCGGAGCCGCTCCATTCACCGAGGGGAGGGGCGTGGCCTGGAGGGGGCGTGGCCGGCCCCACCGCCCCCACTTCCCCCCCTCCCCCCGGCCGCCGGGATCCAGAGGATAAATCCGGGAGCCGCGGGGGCGACGGGCGCGGTGCGCGGACACGGCGGCAGCGGCCACACGCTCCCGGGGGACCCGCGGCCGACGAGGGGGCACAGCGGCCCCGCGTGCAGCCTCCCCGGGCGGCCGGCCTGCGGGGGTCATGGTGACGGCCGGAGAGCTCCGAGAGCTGGAGGGCAGCGCGCTGCGGAGGCTCCTGAGGCGGGACGAGCGCGAGCGCGCCGGCGGGCCGGGCGTCGCGCCCGGCGGGGGCACGTGCCTGCTGCTGGACTGCCGGCCCTTCCTGGCCCACAGCGCGGGCTGCATCCGCGGCGCGCTCCCCGTGCGCTGCCACACCATCGCGCGCAGGCGCGCCCCCGACGGCCCGGGCCGCCTGGAGCAGCTGCTGCCGGCCGCAGACGGGCCCGACGCCGAGGACCGGGGCCGCCGCCTGCGCGCCGGCCTCTACGCGGCCGTGGTGCTGTACGACCAGCGCAGCCGGCGCGCCGCCGAGGCCCTGCGCGCCCCCGACGGCGCCCTGGCCTGGGTGGTGCGCGCGCTGCGCGGGGCCGTGCCGCGCGCGCCCGCGCCCCTCTACCTGCTCCGAGGTGAGCGCGGGGCGGTGGGGGGGTGGGGGAGGCCCGTCATCACCCCCTGTCCGAGGGCGTGGGCGAGGGCTCGGTGGTCTGACTCCTTCGGGCAAGGAGGGGAGCTCAGGCTCCTGGGGGTAGGGGGCGGGAGGGGGCGCAGGTCTGGCTCCCGCAGACCCTCATGGGGGGCTGGGGAGGAGCTGGGAGCGCGCTGGGGCGGGGGTCCCGCTAACCACCCCCTGCCCGAGTGTGTTGACGTGAGCTTGGTGCGGCCGGGAGCCTGGGGAGGGCAGGTCTGGCTCCCTCGGACCCTCGTTGGGGGGCATCGAGAGGCGGGAGCTGGACTCTGAGAACGAGGTCGGGCGCCTTCTTGGTCTCCCACCGGGGCTCAGGTGGCCGCCACCTGGTGTCGCCCCGGGGGAGCGGGGCAGGGCCGTGCGGCCCCGCGCCCCCTTTGTTTAAAGCCCAGCGGCACGGTAAGAGAGGCCGAGTGATCCCCCGAGGTTCCTTTCAGCTCTCTGGCCTCTGACCCGCAAGTGTGGGTGAAACCAGACACAGTGTGGAGTCCCGGAACCTGGGTTCCAAGCCCAGCCCTTCCACGCGGCTGGTGGGGGTGGAAAAGCTTGTTCACATCCTGCCTCTGACACTCAGTACCTCTGAAACCGTGGGCAAGTCCCTTCACGGGCCTCGGTTTCTCCATTTGTAAAATGAGGGCCAGGACTAGATGATTTCCCAAGGACCTTTTCAGTTCTGTGAAGCCCCCTGTGCCCCTTTCCCCTCTTTCCAGGAAACCCTCGGCTCTCATGCCATATCCTGAGTGCCACGTGAGAGGGGTGTCTTCCTGACTGCCCCTTTTCTAACCCAGGCCATTATCCCCTCCTGAAACCCACCAGCTTCTTTATATCCCGGGATCCAGAAGCCTGGCACCTCCCAGGGTTTCCCCTGGCAGACGGAGCCTGGCCTCATGGAGTGAGCTGCTGTCCCCAGTCTCCCAGGCCAGCCAGGTGGCCCAGGAGCCACAGGGGCTCTTGTTACCACACATGCTTCCGGGCCATATGCTCCATCAGCTGTTGAAAAAGGCCAGTGACCTGTGGTTGAACTAGCATCCTTCTGAGGTTGTTTCCCCTAATGTATCCCTGACTCTCCCTTAACCTCCCCCCATTTGCCACCAATAGCAAAAGAAAGAAAGTCACAGCCCTGACTGAATCACAGAAGGTGATGGGAAGGGGGCAGCATCTTGACTTGGAGCAGGGAATGTCAGAGGTGGAAAGAAGCTTAGAACAGAGCTTATCAGAGCTGTGAGGGGGCCCAGAACAGGGAATGTGGGAGGTGGGAAGGACCTAAGAACAGAGGTCAGGGCTGGAAGGGGCCTTAGAACAGTGCATAGTAGATAGTATGTGAACATGAGGGTGTCAGACATGGTGGACCCCCAGAGCTAGGAGGGACCCCAAGGTCTCTAAATGATGCGGTTTAACTCCTTTGTTGTACAGACAGTCACACAGGGAGGGGCAGAACCCGGGGAGTCTCTTGACTCCTGGCTTCCAGCTCCCTCCTACTACATACGTACACCATGGTGCTTGCCTGCTGGCCACCAAAAAGCAGGGAGAAGCATTGCCTTTTCCACTCCTGTGAGAAACAGCAACAGTGCCCCACTTCACCAGGGTATTCTAACAACGGCTAGAGAAGACAGTGCCATTTTTTGAGTTTTTGCTGTTGTTCAAATGCTTGGCTCCAACTGGGGTGGATTGTTACTTTTTTCTGTGTTCCTGTGATTGACTGGCCCCCAGCAATCTCCATTCTCTCCTGCTGATGAGGCTATATAGAGCCCATAACAGAGAGGGAGGGAGAGAGGCAGAGGGAGAGGGAGAAGGAGAGAGGGAGAGAAGGACAAAGGGAGAAAGAGAGAGAGGGAGGGAGGAAGGAACACAAACTGTCTGCTGCTGCCAGTGGGGTGTTCTTTGGAGCTCAGTCTGGAGACAGCTGCTCAAAGTCCTGTGTGGTTCATTGATGGTTTTAGAGCAGAGGTGTCAATCTCATCAGTAGGCCCCTTGGCCTGCAAAACTCCCAAGTGTGACCTAGACCAGATTAAAATGTTTATTGGGAAATAGTTAACAGAATTAATAAAAACACCTTACGTATGGTTTAATGACCCTTATTTCTATTTTGAGTTTGATACCGCTCTTTAGAGAGCAGCAGTTCCACAGGGTTCCACTGGTGAGGGCTTTTCCCCCCAGAGCCAGTGATGGGAACATTGTTAGTTATATGATCCTGGATCTATAGCTTGCTGGAAGGGGCCTCAGGGGCAATCTGGTCTGACCTCCATTTTTTATAGGTGAGGAAACAGGCCCTTGGTTTTGGTGTTCAGTTGCGTCTGACTTCTTGCCCCCATTTGGGGTTTTCTTGGCAGAGATACTGGAGCGGTTTACCATTTCCTTCTCTAGCTCATTTTACAGATGAGGAAACTGAGGCAAACAGGGTGATGTGACTTGCCCAGGGTCACACAGTTCATAAGTGTTTGAGGTCAGATTTGAACTCAGGAAGATGAGTCTTCCTGCCTTCAGGCCCAGTGCTGTGTGCACTGCATCGCCTAGTTGTCTAGGATGGATTCTCTCTAGAGCTGGGAGGGGCCCAGAGGCCAAGTCTGACCCCTTCTTTTTGTAGAGGAGGAAGCTGAAGGCCAGGAAAGAGACGTGACCCTCCCTACTGGCTCCCTCCTGTTCCCTGCCCCTTCCTGGTACCCTCTGTCCCTGAAGGGGAGCAGGGAGAGTGAGAGGACATCAGGACCAGCGTCTAAGCCCTAGGCAGCTTGGGAGGATGGGATTGCAGGGCCGGGAGCTCCTGTGACTTTGCAAAAGAGACATTTTTGCTGTTTCTGACCCTCCCCCCACCATGAGAGTTCAGTTGGCTCCTCTCACTGCCTTCTCTCAGGCTCGATTAGGGTGAGTGGTAGGATGGGCAGCCCCAGGGTCATGCTCTGGGAAGTAATGGACCATCCATCCAAGTTTCCTCTTGAATCTTATTCACTACCAGTAATTCCACCACTAACTTTGCCCGCTTCTCTTCACACAAGGAGCCGTGTGGTCTGGCTGCCCATTTAACTTTGGGCCATAAAGCCTCTCTTGCCCTGTCAGGGACTGCATCCAAGATTTCTGGACCACCTCTCTCCTTTCTTCTCCACAAGAAATGTGGAGCTGACTCTGTCATGTTAGTTGATGGGCAAACAGGAGTCAAACATTATGCTAAAATGGAGATATACTATAATTTAGAAAGCCCCTCTTCAACCAGTGTGGTAGTCCTACTAACAAAGAAAGTAAGGTTGGTCTGCCACGACCGGGCTTGAGAAAGCTGGATGATCTCTTTACATTCACCAGCCATCTCTTTCATCATCTGTTTAGGATTTTTCCCTATTAAAAGTCTCAGTAACATTTAAAAAATATAACCTTTTGAAACACAAGCCTCTGGCTTGTAAGAGTGAAAGGATTGAGAAATGATGTAGACATGGGAGAGAGACCCAGTATTACACAGTGGTTACGATATTACCCAGGAATTGTCTCTTCCAACGGCTAGAATAGACATTTAAAAGACCAGGATTCACTTTGATCCTGCGTTCATCAGAGCCAAGATCTCGCCTTGGCTGTTGGTGGAGGGCTTTTGCTACCTTCCTGAAAAATCCCCCAGGGGGGAGCTGGCCGAGGTGCTGATCTCCCTGTTGTGCTTTTTATTCTTCAGCTTTGTTGTACCAGGATGATTCCCTCTGCATTTCTTCCTCTTGCTATGAAACCTGCCCACTTCTTCCGTCATAGTCCTTCTGATGAGCACATTTTTTTGGACATGCACCACCTGTTTGCCCATCAACCAACATGACAGTCAGCTCTTATAAGAGTGTAACGATTATGTTCAGATATAGTCAGAATGAAAGCAAACATGTAAACACTTCTCTTAGGGAACAGGCACGAAGAATATGCTGTCCATTTGTTAAGCATGTGCTGCATGTTGGCTTTATATACACTTGGCAGGGTGCCCTCTTTCTATGATATAGTTTCGGTTCTGCTAAGACGTGACTACAGCTTGGTTGGTCGGTATCTGATGTCATTGGCCTACTGTCTGGGCTGGGATGACTAGGCATCTTCCTACCTGGTGTGGGGAGGAGGCAGTTGCTGTTGGGGAGGGTGGATTGGATCAGGGTTAGCCCTTTTTGTGGCCTTGGACCCCTTTTGGAGTCAGGGTGAAGCCTGTGGATCCCTTCTTGGAAACATGTTTTTAAATGCTTAAAATAGAATATGCAGCATCACAAATGAATCAATTGTATTGAAATTAAGATGCACTTCCCTCCTTCTGCCCCAGTGAAGCTCATGAACCTCCTGAAATTTATCAAAGGACCCCCAGGTCCTTAAGCTAAGAATTGCTAGACCAGATCATACAGTTAAGGGAATTAGGGCTGAGAAAATTTCTAAGAGCCCATCTAGAACACTGGGGTCCAGCTGAGCAGTAAATTTTGAAGAACTAAAATTGACTCCTCAAAATCTCTTTCCAAGGCTAAGGACACCATCTTGGACAAGGCTTGGCAGAATAGAATATGGCCAGGAAGGGTACCTTCCAGAGACGTATCACCTTCTGAAGAAGTAGGTGGAAGGAGTAAACATCTGATCACCCAGATAGCCTTAGCTCACAGGGACATAGGCAGCTCCCTTATTCCAAGCAAGTCCTCTTGGCCTGTGGTCATAAGGGGTGGTGGTGATGGAGCTACATCTGCTCACCCTCCTCAGCCTCTTGACCTTATGCTGCTTGTGACCAACAGTTGCCTTTAGTGCTGGGATGGAGTGGTACCCACTGGCTCACCACCACAAAATGGCCACAGCTTCTGGGGTAGGCATCTTGGAAGACAAGTGCTAGATTTGGGAGAGCTGAATTGGAGCATGGCTCACATACTCCTTATTGGACATTGGGTGGGTAGATCACTTTCCCTTTCCAGTCTTAAATTTCCTCAGCTGTCAAATGGGGATAATCCAACTGGCATTGCCAACCTCACAGAACTCTTGTGAGGAAATTGCTTAATGAACTCATGATGAAAAGTGCCATATCAATACAAGCTATTATCATCATCATAGACCATTTCATTCATCCGTCTATCCATCCATCTATTTAATTAAAAAAATAAGCCAAGCCTGCTCCATGTGAATGGAGCTTTCTTGGACCCTGGGGATGATGGGAATGTGGGCACCAGCCTTTAAGGTTTGCCAAGTGCCTTACATACAGTATCATGTCTGTGTACGATGGGGATTATTGTCTCCTTTTCATGGAGGCTCAGAAAGGATTGTGGAATCATCAGTAAATAAAGCACTAAGTGCCTACTGTGTGCTAGGCACTGGCGATACAAAAGCAAAGAGGAAATAGTCTCTGCCTCCTAGGAGCTTACATTTTGTCAGGGGGAAGAACATGTAGATAGTTAGATATATATAAGACCAATACTAATTCAAAACAAGGGAACTTTGGACTGGAGAAAGCTCTAAGAGATTGGGGAGAGGGCAAGAAAGGCCTCCTATACAAGGTGGAGCTTAAGCTAAGTCTTGACAGAAGCCAGGGATTCCAGGAGGTAGAGATAAGGTAGGAGAACATGCCAGGCACTAGGGGCAGGTTGAACAATGGCATGGAGATAAGAGATGGGGCATCAGATCTGCAAGAACACTGAGTAGGTTAATATGGCTGGATCATAGAGTGAGTGGAGGGGTGTAAAGTGTCAGAAGACTAGGGAAGATAAGAAGGAGCCAGGGAGTAGAGGACTTGTTTCTGGAGGTCGTAAGTAGGGAGCTCTGGAATTTATTGAGAAGGGGAATGACGCAGTCAAACCTGCACTTTGGGAAAAATCACTTTGATAGTTACGTACAAGATACACTGGAGGGGAGAAACTTGAGATGGGAGACCCATTAGGAGACTACTGAAAGATGGCGAGAGGTTGAACTGGAGTAGTGGTTGTGTGCCAGAAAAATGATGATATGTAAAAGATAGTGTGGAGATCCGAAACAAGATTTGACAACTGATTGTGACTGTGTGGGGTGAGTGAGAATGGCGGTGAGTCAAGGATGGCACCGTGTTTGTGAATGTGGATATCTAAAAGAATGGCGGCTGCCTTTTTAGAAAGAGAAGTTCAAAAAGGGGTGGGGTCACAAGATGGGGGGGAGATAATGAATTTTGCTTTGGACACACTGAGTTTGAGATGCCTTTGGGACATCCATTTGAAAATGTCCAGTAGGCAGTTGGTGATGCAGGACTAGAGCTCTGGAGAGGGATTAGGGCTAGATGTGTAAATCTGGGAGTCATCTGCATAGATAGTGATGGAACCCATGGAAGATTATTAGGTCACCAAGTGAAAGAAAAGAGACTTGGGATACACTCTTATTTACTGTGTATAATATGGATGCTGATCTCACAAAAGAGACCGAGGAGCAGACAGATGTGTAGGAGGAGAACCAAGAGAGAACAGTGTTGTGAAACCCTAGAGGAGAAAAAAGCAAGGAGAAAACAAAGGCTTAAGAGAAGACCATTGAGATCACTGATAATTCTGGAGAAGGAAATTTCAGTTGAGGAAGTAAAAAACTAGAATGCAAACCTTTGCAAAGGTCTTAGAACCTTTGGGTCTGAGAAGAGGGTGCAAGGAAAGGAAGTGGAGGCACCAAGTGTAGATGGTTCTTTCCAGGAGTTTGACTGAAAAAGAAAAGAGAGCTATAGTGAGGCGAGCTGGCAGGGTCAAAAGGGCCTAGCAAGGGTTTTAAAAATTCAACGTTTGATTCCCTCCTCCCAATCACATGTAAAAAGTTGAAAATTTTTTCATTTTTAAAAAATCTGAGTTCCAAATTCTCTCCCTCCCTTCCCTGAGAAGGCAACCAATTTTATATAGATTATCCATGTGCCACCATGGAAAACATTTCCACATTAGTCATGTTGTGAAAGAAAACAGAGTGGGGAGAACAAATAAGCAAGTGGGTGGTGGGCAGCCAGGGAAGGCTTCCCATAGGAGGTGTTGTCTGAAGAGGTACAGGGTAAGGAAGGAGGTTGTTCTAGATGTGGGAAACAGAAATGGAGGAAAGGGAGCCGCTGTGATTGGACACTCTTCTTCTAGGGGATTGAGTGCCGCAGATGTAGAGGATCTGTTAGGACTGTAGAGCAGGGGCGAGGAAGTCTCTGGAGGCTGCCATTTTCTTTGGCAGTCATTCACGGGCTTACCCTGCCTATGGAGGGAGGGAATCTGCCTCCTGAGATGCAGGGTAAAGGTGAAGCTGCTTTCCTCTCTGGGCCTCAGTTTCCTTAGCTGTCAAATGATCTCTGGGGTCCCCTGCAGCTGTGGCATTTGGTGACCAGATAAGCCTTTACTAAGCACCTCTACATACATGAGACACTACAGAGACACAGACAGGCATGAAAACCAGCCTTGTTCTCAAGGTGTTTCCATTCTACCAGAGGCATAACTGTGCACAAATAAATACATGTAGGTATTGGTCTGGACTAGTGATTATGGTGCTTAGACATCTCCTGGTGAGGAAAGTCCTCTCAATGCAGACTGCCCCCTGTTCTGCTTAGAGAATTCCCTGGAATGTTTTGAAATGATGGCACAGCCAGGATGTGCCACTTGAAAGTCTTCTTGACTCTGAGGTCAGCTCTCCATGACTAAGCTGGGCTGCCTCTTGCAAGCTTCATTAGAATAAAAGGAAAATGGAGGCAGGAGACAGCCCTACAACTGGGGAACAGGAAGAGACGGCATTCTTGGCTTGTGTGACAACTTGGGCAGTTGTATGGAGGTGGTAGATGGAGTAGCTTGTCAGGAACAGCTGGACAGCAGAGCTGAGGCTGGGAGCTGCGGCTTCCCATGCCAATCCCCATTCCCCAGCTGCCCCATCAGGCCCAGTGGAGCGCACAGAGAACTTGAATACAGGTCTTCTTGATTCCAAAGCCAGGCCTCTGTCTATTACAGTACACTGCCTTGATGGCCATGATGGGGAAGCTGAGGCCCAGAGAGGGGAACGTGCTTCCCCTAGGTCACAGGTCTTCAGACTCTAGGTCTAGTGTTATTTCTGTCATGCCACACTAGCCTCTAAACAGGCAATTTGGAGCAGCTGAGTGATCATGCCAGGACACTCCCTGAACAAGGAGCCATTGTCTCCAGAGGACACTGTCATTACCGTTTTGAGCTGGAATGGTCTCCAGAGAAATTCCATCCAACCCCTCTTCTCTCTGCTCCCCACAAATGTTTTCCTGAAGGCCAGAGACCTATGTGACCTTGGCCAAGCCCCTTCCCCCTTTTGTCCCTCAGTTTCCTCCCCTATGAAGTGAGAGGGTTAATCTTAATGTCCTGGAGGGTCTCTTCTAGTTCCAAATCTTAGTCTCTCTCCAGGATTCCTTCCTTGGGCCCCACTAAGATCCCTCTAGCTCCTCTGGGTCTGCTTAGCAGCTGTGAGGAACATTGGCCCCTGACCAGTCCCTTCCTCCTGGGCCACTGGGATGTGTTTGTGGGGACTGAGGGAGAAGATGGGAGATGAGAGGAGGTGGCCTTTTCACTGTTGGCTCGGAGGGCGTTTGCATCTGCACTGGTGGAACCAGAACAGGGGGAGCTGCCTGCAGGTGTCTGGACCTTTCAGGAAAGCCCTCCAGGCAGCCCGTCTGGTTATTGCAGATCTGACCATGGCATTCCCCTCCTCAAGAAGCTTCCAGGGCTCCCTTCTGCCTAGAGCTTCATGTTGTTGAGTTGTTTCAGTCATGGCTGACTCTCTGTGACTCCACTTGGAATTTCCTTGGTGAAGACACTGGAGTGGTTTGCCATTTCCGTCTCTAGTTCATTTTACAGATGAGGAAACTGAGGCAAACAGGGTCAAATGATTTGCCCAGGGTCACACAGCCAGCAAGTGTCTGAGACTGGATTTGAACTCAGGTCCTCCTGACTCCCAGGCTGGTGCTTTATCGACTGCACCACCTAACATTCCCCTCCCCACATACACCAGGTAGGATGCTGCCTAGTCAGACCCCCTCAGACAAATGGACGTCATTTTTTGGGGGGAGGTTGTATGTACTGGAGGCATCACTGGGAACTTGGGAGTGCTACGTATGCGTCACTGTTTGTCCTAGGCCAGGTCTGAGAGGCGTCCCACAGCAGGGGCCTTCCTAAGGGTGGAGGGGGGTGCATGGAGAGTGGAGCAGGACTGATGAGGATCACAGCTCTAGAATTAACTGTCACCTGATTCTACAGAAGTGGAAACTGAGGCCCAGGGAAGGGCTCTCTAGCTACTACTCAGTTCCCTGACATGAAGCACTGTGGTTTGCAAGGATCTTGTGTGCTGGGAGTGGAGGAGGTACAACGTTGGATAGAGGCCAGGCTTTGCCCTCAAGGAGTTGACAGTCAGAAGTACATGACTGACAGGAGGTGAAGAGGGGCTGAAGCAGAGGGCTTGGAAGCTGGAGGAGGAAGGACATTGAATGGAGAGAGGACTGTAGAAGGTGGGGAGCAAGATTCCATTCTAGGACGAAGGGTGGCCTGAACAAACAGACTGAGAGGGCAGGGTGGGAGTAGGGGCAGAGGGAGGTCCAGTTTGGCATGGGTTCTCATCCAAGGAGGCTCGAGTCTCCCACCCCCAGCCCCTCACCACTGACCTCTTGAATCTCCTCTGCAGGTGGTTACGAGATGTTTTCTTCCGAGTACCCAGAATTCTGTTCCCAAGCCAAGCCCCTGGCCACTGTTTCATCTCCCATTCCCACCACCATTCCGGAGCCTCCTGACCTGGGCTCCAGTTCCTGTGGCACCCCACTGCATGACCAGGTACATTTGGGGGAGTCTAAAAGAGCCCTGGGATGAGGAGGGAAGGCTGGCTGCAGCCAGCTTTTCTTAGAGAGGTCCCTCCCAGGAGGCCAATGGGGGCTGGAATTGGCAAGAGGACAACAACTAAGGATCCCCCCCAGGTCAGCCCAGATGTCTCCACAAAAATGACATGCATTCAGGGACCTAGGATTTCCTCAGTGGGGGTCTCCTGCTACTGGAACAGTGTGGGCCCTCTGTACCTCACTAGAGAACCTCTCTATGCTTCTCTTAATAAATGTTTTTCTATCCATCCACCCATCCATCCACCCCTCCATCCACCCATCCATCCACCCATCCATCCACCCATCCATCCATCCACCCATCCACCCACCCATCCATCCACCCACCCATCCATCCACCCACCCATCCATCCATCCATCCATCCATCCATCCATCCATCCATCCATCCATCCATCCATCCATCCATCCATCCAATGCCTCTGCTTGTGGTGGCATAAAGGCGGCACTGCCTTTTCTGGACTGGCCCATTTGAGGTCTAGAAGTCCTTTTCTGCCCTGGCCCCATGAGGGACGATTTGGGAGAGGGTCCCAGCTCACTTGGATGTGAGGGTTGGGGCGCAGGGTAGCTATCCTCAAGCCAACCATAGAAGGCTGCTGGGGTTGGCCAGGACATAGCCTCACTGGGAAGGCAAGTGGGGCGAGGCTGCTGTGCCCCAGATGTAGGGAGCCTAGCACAGCCTGGCAGGCAGCAGGCTCATTCCCAAGGACTCCCTTTGGTGCATGCTACATGTCTCATCTCATTACTGTGCTTGGGAGTGTATCAGTCTCTCAGTCAACAAGCATTCATTAGACCCTTGTGTGGAGGGGGAGGGTGGAGGGTGGTGGTAAAGATACCCATTCCACAAGCCAGTCAGCCCCTGCCTTCAGGGAGTCTACATTCTAATGGGGGAAGACAGCACTTACCACTAGATGGTTGCTGGAGAAGGCAGTCAGAAGGATGGCGATTAGAGCCAGGGCAGATGTTGGGCTTGGCCTTTCCAGGAAGGGCCATGTTGAGTGTTGATCGTTTACCGTTCCCAGAGCTGGAGAGCGAGGAGAGGTGTGGGCTGGTAGGGAGGGTACCCTAGAAAGTCTGCGATGGGCCAGACAAGGTGACTTCTTTTGGGGTGCCTGGCACTGAGTGAATGCTGTGGATCGATGGGTTGATCGATGGGGTGTTTGACTGACTTCACAAAGCAAGGTTCCATTCCTCCACTGGGTTGGATGGCTCCAATATCCAAGGCTCTGCCCAGCTCCAGATCTCCCATCCCAGGAGAAGGTCAGCTCAGGAATGGGGATGGCCCAGGTATTGGTCTTGGCACCTGAGCCTGCCCTTCCCCACTCCTCAGACTGCAGCCATTTCCTCCCGGGGCCCGTGTCCCCCCGATCCCTCCCTTGCCCCGCTCTCCCTCTGCCTGGCCTCTGAGATCTGACTCCTGCCTTGCCCAGGGGGGACCCGTCGAGATCCTGCCCTTCCTCTACCTGGGCAGTGCCCAGCACGCAGCCCGGAGGGACACACTGGATGCCCTGGGGATCACTGCGCTGCTGAACGTCTCCTTGGACTGCCCGAACCACTTTGAGGCCCATTATCAGTACAAGAGCATCCCTGTGGAAGACAGTCACAAAGCAGACATCGGCTCCTGGTTCATGGACGCCATTGAGTTCATTGGTACGCTGGTTGACTGGAGCTGTGTGTGTGCATGAGGTCTGGGACCCCACAGAAGGCCAGAGGAGGAGACAGTGGTCCCCCACCCCATGGGGACAGAGCCCCTCTCCCCCCTCGGGACAGCCCCTCCCCTTAGATATTCTCTGAGAACAAGAGATTGATCTTCTGTCCTCCCCATGGGGTGACTGATGGCAGGAGCCGGTGGGTGCTTTCCTTCCTCCTTGCTGCCAGGGATGCTCAGCTGGAGACTGAAAGGGCTTTGGGGGCAGAACTGGGAGGCCTGGGTTCTCCTTGTGCAGAGACTGGCTGGTCTTTGAGAGGCCTGCCACTGTCCTAGGTCAGGGGTCAGCAGATTGTGGCCTTTGTTGCTTTGCTGCCTGGCTCTGTGCAGACTGTGAGCTAAAGCCGGTTTTTAAACCGAGAAAAGCTTCCAGACGGCACTGGGAGCTTCCCGGGCTCATTCCAAGATTTGCCTGTGGGCCCAGTTTGCCACTCCTTGGACTGGACCACAGGGTGATGGATGTGTGGGCGTAGGGTCAGTTAGCAAGTAGGTGTTACTCTGGGCCAGTGCCAGGGATCCAGAGAAAGGCGAAAACTGGAGCCCCCACTGGAGGGGTCGAGGGGGGAGGCAGCATGTGAACGAGTGAGGGCATCTCCTGTGAGGGAGACAGAGGCCCGGGGAGCTGATGGCTTTAGCTTGGCTAAATCTCTCTTCCTTTTTCCTTCCCTCCTCCCTTCCTTCTCCCCTCCCCCTTCTGTATTCCCTCCTCCCCCCTCCTCCCCTCCCCCTTCTTCTCTCTCCCCTTCCTCCCTCCCCTCCCCCCCCTCCCTCCCCCTTCTTCTCTCTCCCCCGCCCCCGCAGACTCGGTCCAGGCCCGCCAGGGGCGGGTGCTGGTGCACTGCCAGGCCGGGATCTCGCGCTCTGCCACCATCTGCCTGGCCTACCTGATGATGAAGAAGAAGGTGAGGCTGGAGACGGCCTTCGAGTTCGTCAAACAGCGGCGAAGCGTCATCTCGCCCAATTTCAGCTTCATGGGGCAGCTGCTGCAGTTTGAGTCCCAGGTGCTGGCCACGTCCTGTGCCGCGGAGGCCGCCAGCCCCTCCGTGACGGTGACGCGCGGGGAGCCGGCCAAGGCCTCCCCCTCCGCGGCCCAGCTTGTCTTCAGCTTCCCGGTGTCAGCCCCCAGCAGCCTCCCCTACCTCCCCAGCCCCATCACCACTTTCCCCAGCTGCTAGGACCCCTGGGGAGGGCTCTCCCCACCCCCAGTGCTGGGGCTGCTGGGGTGAGAAGAGACCCCGCCAGAGAGCTTGCTTCCAGGCTGGGGCACCTGCCCAGCAGTCACCATGCATTTATTAGGCGCCTGCTGTGAGCCAGGCACTTGCTAAGTGTGGGGCTGGCCTGCTCGGCCCCTTGACTCCTGTGTGAGTGGCGGCCTTGAGGTCCCTTCCCTGATGGGGGGCTGCTTCCTCCTGCCCAGCGAGGGACCTCTCTCCCATCGCGGGGTCACTATGGTCCTCCTCCTCGCCTGGCCCGGGCTCACCCCACTGCCAGGCACTGAGATCACGGACCCTCCCACACAGCAATAACATAGCTGCGTCCAGCGAGACCGCTGTCCCGGCTGGCTGGCGGAGCTGGTCGGGAAGGGCAGCCTTCCCTTTTTCCAACAGAGAAGTCTTAAGAACCTCTTTTCCTGTAAACCCGGGATGGCTGAGAGTTGTGCATGTTGTAGTCTTGCTTTGAGCCCCACCAGGGCCCACAGTCGGGTGCTGATGGCCCCTCCCCCGCTCCTGACGGCTTGGGTGGCTGTGGTCACTTTCTGTGTTTAAAGGTAGCTTCAGAGGGCATCATTTTATTCCAGGAATCACAGACCGTTGAATCATGATAATAAATAACAAATGTAAGAAGGGACCCATTTCCTCAGAGTATGAAAGTAAGTGCAGCCAGCCGAGGGTCAGCGAGGGTGAGGATGCTGTAGCCTCATGGAGGTGTTGAGCGTGATGGTGGCAAGGGCACAGGGGGCTCCGAGAGCCCCAGCTTGTACTGACGTGGTGGCTGGGAGCCTGCTCCCCCGTAGAGGGGCAGTGGAAAGAACAGTCCCTGGGACAGTATCTTTGGGTCCTGGTGGGTGGGCTGGGTGACATCTTGACCTCCTCCTGTTCTCCAGATCCTGTGGAGATGCACTACCCTCTCATGGGCACACCTGACTTTATTTCACTGAGATGGTCCTCAAGTGTCAGGTGTAAACCCACAGTTCTGAAAGGCCAACCTGCCATAAATCCTGCTGGGCGGGGGCATTCCCTCTGAAGGCCCTTGGCTAGGATGAATCAGCCCCCCCATCTTGTCCTGTGCAAACATGGACAATTATCTTGTGGGCTGGCACACCCAGCGCGCTCCCTGCCCACAGCCCTGTCCCAGACATTCCCTTGTGACATCAGTCCCTCCCTTGAAATGTACCAGCCATTCCCGCTGGCATGTTTTTCCCATGCTGTGGCTATGGGCCTCTGTGGGTTCTGGTTTGAGGGAGCTGGATTCTTGTCTCAAGATGGGCTCATGTTTCTTGCCCCTTCCAGGCTGAATGACACAAGTCTCCAAGCTACGTGTGAATTAGGCTTGTTCTCCCTCTATTAGGCGGCTCTTGCTGGGCCCCTGTCCTGTGGCAGCCTGGCCTGCCCCTGATTCTGTGCTGGACAGTGCAACCTTTGGGAGCAGAAGCATGTGGACACCCGTCTGCTCTTTGCTCTGATGCCTGGGAGGCAGTTCAGTTTTCAGAGGCCAGGGTCCCGAGCTCTTCCTTTGTGTGGTGGGCTCAACAGCTGGAGAAGCCGAAGCCAGATAGCCGGGGAGGAGGAAAAAAAGGGAGCTGCCTGGAGTAGCTGGTGAGGGTGGGGGTGAGCATTGGCCAGAACCACCCCTCTGCCTGTCCTGGCCAGACATTTCAAGTGAATCTCAAGGACTCACTCGTCCATCTCCCCCTGACACGGATGGTGGTGTCTTTTCCTAGCCATTTCCTTCCGAATCCCATGAGTAAGCTATCCTAGATGAACAGGTGCTTTTGTGAAATTCAGCACCTAAGAATCCCTTTCTGGAATGCACCCAGGAAGCTCCTGTTCCTGTTAGGGCATTTCCCCTCACATTAAGCAAATAAATCACTCTCTCCACAATTCCCCTCACTCATTCCTGGTGCTGTCCCTCTGGGGCTGAGCACAGCCAGACTAATCTCTTCCACATGACAGATAATTTTGAAGACAACTCTCCTTCTCTCCTGGCTATGAATGCCCAGCTCCCAGCCTCATCTGACCTGGCTCCAGAGCCTTCCTGATCCTGGCTGTCCTCTTCTGGACATGCCACCGGCCTTCACATTCACATGTGATCTGACTGGGGCAAGGGAGGTAAGCCTCTCTTACTTGCCCAAGATCTCATTTTTCCTGGTGTCATTTAAAATAATCCCCAAATGAGAAACAGATGAACTTCCAGGCTGTCAGGACGTAACCCCAGGTCTGGTTGAGCAGGACTATGTCACAAACACGCTGCATCCCTGGTGACTCTTGAGATGTTGCATTGCTCTGCAGATGCTGAGATCTGTATGAGTTGTGGAAATGAGCTCCCCAGGAGCTCCCCGTGCCACCAAACCACAGGAAGAGTACCCCACGCTGTTGTACTCCTTTGGAACATTTTAAAGTCTTCTGGCGAGGATGCCCTCTAGCAAACCACTGTCCTCTGGGTCACTTGGACACCCAGTTCCGGCTCTCATCCTGTGACCCAGACACACAACTTGGGCATAAAGGGGCCCCTTCTAGGATTGGTTTCCCCCTGGCTTCTGGGCATTGAGGCAGGGGCAGTTCTGTCCTGCGGAGGAATCCCGCCAGCTGCGTTTCCCCTGGGCTTGGTGGTGGCCAGACAGCCTTTGAGTATGGAATCTCTCTTGGAGAAATCGTGAATGCCACGAACCCTTCCCTTCCCAGGCCTGGCAGACCTGGATGCTCCACTGGGAGGTACCAGGCGTGAGCTCTCTGAGTGGAGACACAGGGTAACAGGCAGGGTGTTCTCTCGTCCTATTTGGAAGGATAGTTTGGGGGGCAGCTGGAAAGCTCAGGTCATTTCTGGGGAGGGGAGCTAGAGATTGAGAGCTGAGCAAGGGAAGTCCTTCTTAGTTGTGGATAGAATCCAGCCCTGCCAGTCCCCGGTTGAACACCAGAGAGCCCACGTTGCTCCGAGCCTTGACGACCGTGGAGCTGGGGCCAACTGAGGCTCTATCCCAGGGACCCCTCCCCCACATGTCTTCCTCCTGGAGGTCAAGCAGGAAGATGCCTTTCAGGAGAGTGCAGGGAGCAAAGCAGTACTTCCCTCCTCACTTGTGGATGTGTCCTGTGTCTGCTGTGCCCATGTGGTGTGTGTCATTTGGGTTTTGCTTTGTTCTCTGCTTGTTTCTGTCTCAGTGGTTTTTATTTATTGCTTGAAGAAGACCGTTTGAAGAAAAATAAATGCATTTTCAACAAACAGTGCTGGCTGTTTCTGCACTTTGCATCTCCTTCCCTTCCCTCCCCCAATGGTGCCCTGCACACAGTAGGTGCTTCTCGAATGACCCACATGTGCATGTTGTCGTGAGACAAGGATGCTACGCTTGAAGCCATGGGATCTGTGTCCAGATACTGTCTTTGCTGCTGACTCACTGGGTGAGGTTTGACAAACTCCCTTCCCTCCCAGCGGGCCTTGCTCAAGGACTGTCCCACGCCCAGCCTAGGAGGAGACCTGCACTTGGGCATTTTCAGTCTTGCCTCTAGAGCTGTTATTTTTGGACCACCCCCAGGGAGGTCTTCCCATTAAGCCTTATTATCTGCATCTTATTAGACTCCACCCAGTGTTCTGGTCTGGTAACACAGAATCTTAGTTCTGCCACTCAGTGAGGTAGAAGGCCCGAGTCCTTCCAACATGTGGGACTTGGGCCTCAGTTTCCTCAGACATAAAATGACAGGAGGTTGGGCAATATGACCTCCGTGGTCCTGTGCACATCTAAATGCTATGCTCCGACACATGGCCCTTTCGGAAGTGGGTGGGGCTGACCCTCCACCTGCCTTCCCTGCTCTGTAGTTCCCTCACCTTCCCTGGTTTTGTTTGGGCTCTGTGATAACTTCCCCAACCCTGTAGCAGAACCAAAGTAGGATCTTCCGAAAGCAAATTTTATGGGAAACTGAGAAAGGGCCAAATTACAGTAGAGATGTGCAGAGGGTGGCTCTCTTACCCTCGCCCCCATCGGATTGCCTTTGTGGTCATAATTTTATAAGATATTTCAACCCCTGCTCCTTATCTTTTGTCTGAACCCTGTGTGGACACATGAATGTTTGAATAATCAGATACTCGGGTTTCTAGCCTGAGGAAGATTTGACTCGGTACTGATTCCAAGTCTGGAAAGAAGATGGGCATAGGTGATATGCCAATCAAGTGTGCAGATAATGCCAAGCTGGGAGGGGCAGTGAACCCCCCGGACACCAGCGCCCTCAAGAATTTTGGCAGGCTGGACTACAGGGCTGAGTATAAGGTGAAATCCAGTAGGGATAAGTGGTAATTCTTGTCCCTGGGTCCTAACAATCACCCTTACTCTGAAAAGGATTTGGGGATAGGCTACAAGTCCAACGTAAATCATCAGGGTTGAATCAATGAATCAGCAATGTGGTGTCCAAAAAGATGTCATGAGATCTTGGGCAGACAGCTGCCAGGAACAAGGAGGTGGCAGTCCCTCTGGCCTCACCAGAGTCGAGCACTGGGTCCAGTGTTGGGCACCATGGTTGAAGAAGCTGGACAGTGGCTCTTTCTGCCATCTTGCAGCACTGCCAACACAGTGTGCATGAACGTCCCAGCAGATACTCCCAAAAGCATCAGCAACGCAGAAAAGCGAGGAAAACACTAGGTTCTCATTAGGCAGGGCTCTAAAGTAGTTGTCCACTTCTTAACTGTGATGATGCAACATAGTTACATTGGCGAATCTGAGGTCACTGGTGACCACAGAGCAGGAAAAAATTGTTGTGAACCTCATGCACAGATTAAACAAGCGGGGTGTGATCAATCCCAGACTTGACGTCCAATTGAAAGATCTGGAAAAGTGGCTGAATAATCTGCTACCATCCGTCAGTTTGGGTTCATTGTGCTTACTACCTCCACTGGCATCATGGACCATGAGGAAGCAAGACAAAAACACATGGGAGGAAAAATCCTGGGATTCTTTTCCTAAGGGTGTAAAACATACATACAAATAAAAATGCTCCAATGGGAAAAAAAAAAAAAGGAGCTAGACAGTGTCCAGAGGAGAGCAACCAGGATGGGGACCCCTGAGTATGTCCCTGGAGGACTGTCTGAAGGAATGGCTTGCCAAGCCTAGAGAAAAGTCTGAAGGGGACTATGTGAGCTGTTAGCTTGAAGCATCCCAAAGGCTAGCCAGGGGAGGGTTTAGACTGGTTCTGCTGGGCTCCCAGAACCGGGAGTGGTGAATGGGGCAAAGTTGCTAACAGGCCAGTTTATGAGCTGTCAGCAAGACCTTCCTAATCATCAGCGCTGTCCTCACCCAGCACCAAAGAAGCTGCTCCAAGCAGAGGATGGACAGTCACAGGTCCAACATGGGATAGTGCCTGGGTTGGACTGCATGACCACTGAGGTCTCATCTGCCTCAGATTCTGAGATTCGAGGTCCTCAGCCCTTCCCAGAAGAAGTTTCTAGGAGGAAAGAGACCAAGACGTTGACGCCCATTCAGTGGAGCTGGGGTAGGTAAGGTGCTTTGTGAACTGGCTGTGCTTCGAAGAACAGACAAGGTTTTGCGTTTCCCCCCAACGCACTGCCTGTCCAGCTGTGTTCAGTCACACCCGACTCTTCCTGACCCCATTTGCAGTTTTCTTGGCAAAGACACTAGAGTGGTCTGCCATTTCCTTCTCCAGCTCATTTTACTGATGAGGAAACTGAGGCAAGCAGGGTGAAGTGACTTGCCCAGGGTCACACAGTTAAGAAGTGCCTGAGGCCTGATCTGGACTCATCTTCCTGACTGTAGGCCAGGAACTCTGTCCAGCGTGCCCTGTAGCTTAATAACCAGTTATTGATCTTTGAATTTTGTGTACGAGGCATTTTCACTAACTGAATCCATTGGCACAGATAATATCCTTTAAAATGTTTTATTCCTTCTCACATTCTGATTTACAGTGATTCCCCCCCCCCCCACCAAACCAAAGGGAACCCTTTGCACACTGAGTAGAAGCCAAGCCAAACGAATCCGCATTGACCATGTCTGCGATGTTTGCCTCGTTCTATGCCTAGAGGCCAGCTCGGCCCAGCTCTCGTTTCAGAGGCGGTGGTGCTTAATGTCAGCTGTCTGCATTTGTTAACAAGGAACTGCTGCACCTGCCTACAGTTTTTTCCAAAACGTTTTTAGTTCTGCTCACTTCACTGCCTCCACTCATGTCTTTTCAGGTTTTACTGAATTTTTCATATTCATCACTCTTAAATAATACTTCCATTGATTTAATTTTAATTTATTATATATTTAAATAACAGCAATTTATTTTAACACTTAGAAAACGTCAGGCTCTGGGCTTGGTACCGAGGACATAAAGATTTTCCATCCCATCCACATACAACAATTTGACAAATATCGGGGTACCCACTTTCCCTTTAGTTCTTTAGATTGGCTCCACCTTGAATCAATGGACAGTGTTGGAGTCAGGGGAGTGCAAATCTTGCTTGCTCACTGGCTGTGTGAACATGGGCAGGTCACTTAATCTGCTTGCCTCAGCTGGGAATCATAACAGCACCTACCTCCCAGGTGGTTGAGGGGCATCTGAGTGCTACCTATTGTTGTCCATTTGAGCGAAACTCCGATTCCTTCTCTGTTCTTAGTCAGCATCCCGGTCAGCTGCCTTCCTGGTCCTCCTGGTCCTCCCGGGCAGGCTGCACCTCTCCCCTGGTGCTGCTCTGCATCATCCCTCTGGAGGCCCAGAAGACAGTTTTTCGTGTTTCAAAGCCAAGGTCTTTGTGTGGATATTTTAAGATGCTGCAACATAGGACTGAAAACAGGGAGGGCACCTTTGAAGCTCCATCGAAGCCAAGCCCTTATTTTATGAAGAACAGAGACCCAGGGAAGCTAGGTTACCCACCTGGCAGAGCTGGGCCTTAGATACTGCCCCCTGACCCCAAAGCCAGGGCCGGTAAAGGTCACATCCAACAGAGACATCTCGGAGCTCAGTCCAGCTGAGAAGATTCCCAGACATGTGTGAAATGAATGAGTCCTCTTACAGAGCCCATGATAAAGGCCATGCCATTTTGTATGACCTGGAAAGTGATTTAAATAAAGTAGAGGAAACAGAGCCCCAGGACTTTTGAATGCTCTGACAGATCCTCACATCTCTACAAAGTTGGACCATTTCTTCTTTTTTTAAAATTTTTTTATTTTTAGGCAGTTGGGGTTAAGTGACTTGCCCAGGGTCACACAGCTAGTAAGTGTCAAGTGTTTGGTCTGAGGCTGGATTTGATGGGCCATTTCTTAAGGCTGAGTGGTTGTTTTCTTAACAGATGAGCCCACAACTGCACCAAAAGACCAGGCTGAGCATCTTTTCAAAGCAACATATTCCTCAGTGGAGAACACCGCTTGCTCTGTACCGAGAGGGGCTCCTGCCTTAGCTGGTGCCTGGATTCGGGTCATTCAGGAACCACCTGGTCGCAGTGTGGACACGAGCAAAGCAGCCCGATACCATCGAGATCTTCCCCATTCTGACCCCCAACAGCCTCATGCTCAGGTGGCTTCCTGTGGCATCCTCATGAGCCACCATTTTGAAATGCAGACTGATCTGCGACTCCAACTCTTCTTGTGCACGTGGCTCCCTAGAGAGACGTTGATGACGCTGCCCGGGTGGGGCTGGGTGACTGTGGAGGACATCTTTGTTGTCTGGGCATAGAGATGTCCTTTCTGGGACGTCCAATTTGTACACTGAATAAACGGAATTGCAGAAAGGACCAAGGGACCTGGGTTCGGATTCTGTATCACCTATGCATGTACCACTTCATCTTTTTTGTGACCTAACATCGCCTCTGTGCCTCAGTTTCCTCTTTTGTGAAATGAAGGGGTTGGGCTCAATGGCTAACTAAGGCCCTCTGAAGCTCTCATGATGTCCCCCCCCCCCGGAGTCTCGATCATGTCTGCACTGAAACTATTCCAAAATTCATGAGGCCTGGGACTAGTCCTGACAGTCTCACGGACCTGCTGTGTGCGGGGCGAGCCACTGGGGAAGCTGCTTTCCATCTCCGGCTCTTTTTCTGGTCCAAAACAAAGCAGATGAACGGACCCTTGCGTCCTTTCTAGACCTAACATTCTACGTTCTAAGAGCCCCCCAGCCCTGAAGCCACAGAACCTCTCTGATTGCATGAGTAGGTGTGCATCTATTTTCCAACCCTCCGGTACTCCTGTCCCCAGATCTTACAAAGGTAGCGCAGAAACAGACTTCATTTTCTTAAAGGCAGTCTGTCTTACCTCATGAAGCAAATCTTCCTTTCAACAGACGCAGTGAGGTGGTGCAGTGGACAGAGCATTGAGCCCCAAGTCGGACTGGGTTCAAATCTAACCTCAGATACTTAACAGCTGTGTGACCTTGGGCAAGTTAACGTCTGCCTCCAGTTTTTCATCTGTAAAACAGCACCTGCCTCCAAGGTATTTAAAGACCACCCATTTCCCCATAACAGGGTCCATTACTACATGGCACAAATACACAGCGAGATCCACAGTGACCTGATAAGCAGCTGGGTCAGTTTGTTTCCAACCTTCTTGGAGAGAGACGCCTCCCCCCCAGGGCAAACCTGGAAATCATGTCACTGACCAAAATGTCCTTGTGACCCATTTTTTCACATTTTTTAAAATTCTGTTTATTAAGACTTCTTGCTTTTATGTCCTCTGCAGCCCCCTTGTGTCTGTGACATTCCCCACCCTCAGCCTCTTTTTTTAAAAAAGGAGGAAGGTGCCAACTCATCTTCCAGACCGCAGGTTAAGGGACTGGGGCAGTTTGCACTCAATGAAGGACGGAGTGGCTGGTCTGGTTGACCACCCTTGTGAATGAGGCCCTTCTGCCCCTTGGCTCTCTGGGTATCTTTTGGAGATCGAGGGGATGAACTACTTTGGACTTGAGCCCAGCAGCCATTTTCTTTCCTAGTCTCTTCAATGAGACGTCCGTTTTCCTTTGGCACCAATGGCACCCAGCACGCCACAGGGCTTCGCAACATCCCCATGAAGGAGCTAAGCAGCAGGCACTATTCCTATTGCAGACCTGGAAGCTGAGGACGGGGGGGGGGGGGCTGGTGGCAGAGCCAGAAACATAAACAAGAGTTAGGGAACGTCAGGCCGAAGTCTAGCTTTCATTTGATTCTTGTGTTACTTTTTCTTTTAAAAAATCACTCTATCACCAGAATTTCCCCCAGTATACTGCCCCCCTCCCAGAGAGCCACCCCACACAACAGCAGATATTTCTAAAGAAAAGCAACCCAACTCATCAGTCCACTGAAAAAGCCCGACGACACGGCAATGGAGTAACGCCGCGGATCTTGCGTCTCTGGAAGGGTGGGCCTTCGACGGGCTCTCCTACAAACCTCGGCTTCCCGGGTCGTCGCCGGCAGGGTCCAGGGAGAACGGGGGCGAGCCCCTGGGCTCCTGCAGGTGCCTCCTTGCATCCGCCATCCACCACCGCCCCGACCGCCCGGCACTTACTGCGCGTGCACCAGAGCTGCTTCAGAAATGTCTTTATTGGTCATTAGATAACAAGTGCTGCAGATTAGACACAGAGCCAAAGCGGTTACAAGTTGTGGTCGGCGCCCTGCCGGGCAGGCGGTTACCTCGGCAGGCGGCCTCTTTTAGCACGAAGAGGGGGGCTGGCGAGGGGAAACAAAGGCGGCTGTCGCAGCAGCGTCAGGTGACCCAAGCCCGCACGCCTGTGAAGTATTCCTCCGTGGCGTCGGCGGGCAGGGCCAGCAGGTCACAACCAGGACCAGGAGGGAGTCACGACAGACAGACACAAAGACAGCCGAGACCCCTGAGCGTGAGCTGGGGTACACCGAGACAAACCCGCCACTGGGAACACAGCGTCAATCAACACCCGGGCCGCTGCGGCCGCGCTGCCTTCTTTGAAGAGCACGCCGTTCAGCTAAGAGGTGAACAGGCGCAGATGCAGACACCAGAGGGGAACGGGGCGCCACCAGTCACAAGAAGCCCTCAAAGGGACACGTCGTTTCACAGACGGACGCACTTGGGAGGACCCGGCTGCCACCGCCGCCAACACCCCCTTCTGACGCGAGTCTTCCGGGCCGTTCTATGGCTGTGAATCATTCGCCACCACGGTTTTGGAAGTAACCCAACGTCCCCAAGGACGACTTATGCACGAGTGAGAAATGGGAAAGACGTGACGGAGAACAGGGACGGGGGAAAGGTGGGCTGGTCACAGGGCAAGCACTTGAGACACAGACGGACAGCGACAGGGCGGCACTGGGAGCCACAGATGAGGAGGGAGGTTGGGGAGGGCCTCCATGGGGACTGCCACTTGTGCCCACCCACACCAGTGAAAGCACGGGCCCAGTCACGTAGCAGAGTACAAAGATGCTCAGTGCGGACGCATCAGCTTCCAGAGCACGGCCTCAAAAGCAGGAGGTGGAAGGGAAGGGGCCTTTCCTGCAGACTGACCCTAAGCAATGGTGCCCCTCACGATCCGATTCCAAAACCTCCCTACGTGGGGAGACCCTGGCCCTTGGATCAGCAAAGGCCCTTCGGCACAACTCGTGGTCTTGGGGAGATGGCCCAAGAACCCCAAACATCTGGAGCCCAACAGAAGTCTGTCTTGTCAATGGCGCACCTGAAGGCATCCTTTCCAAACTGGCCCTCACGTGGCCATCCCGGCCCTAGCAACATCTGAAATCTGTCTGGATGTCTTCTGGCTTTCACTTTGGGAACCTATTTCAAATCAGTAAAAATGCTCCAGTGTAAGACTTCCATCCTATAGGGTTTCATTTTGGAATCGGGTTTTGTGCCCTATATGAGAAGTTCTGGTCATTTTCCTAGCATTTTCTCAAACCCTGGGAGACTTTAGAGTGCGGCCAGATAGGGAGACAGATGACAAGCAGACTGCCCCTACGCCCCAGCCCTAGAAGGAAACAGTTTCAACAAAATGTTCAACCGAATGGCATCTATCAGAAATTGTCTGTTGTACCTAGAATCACAGACCAGAGAGGTCACCTAGTCCAATCTCCTCTCTAACACACCCCCAAGTTATCCCTCAATGTGAAAGGAAACAATCTATGTTATAATCAACTCACCAACAGCTGTGATCACTAGGAAATGCATGCTTCCCTCTAAGGTGGGGCTGCAAACGACTTCCTGGAACATCTACCACCCGGTGCCAATTCTCCCTTCTGGAAGGGGCTCTGCAGGACAAATCTGTTCCCTTGTTCACTATTTAAAGATAGCAATCACATCCAATATGTAAATGTTTCCATTTCCTTCCTTCGGAGTGAGTGGGAGGCCTACAGTAAACCATGGGACGACGGAGGGGTACTGAGCCATTCTTTATCTCACAAGCCAGTTTCTCACACTGAAGGAAACACAGGCCCAGGGAGGCCATCCCTTTGTTTGTTGGGATATAGAAGGGGCCTGTTTCATGACATCAAAAAGAATGGATAAGAATCGGCACGAGATGAGATGAAGCAGGGTTGCAGCAGGAGGAACATTTTATCTCAATGGCGCATAACGAGTATGTTCTTGTCACAATTAGAACTTCCTACAGCTCTCAGAAATGAGGAAGAAACTTTGGAATCCTTCAACCGATGGCCCTCTTTTAAGAAAAGTTCATATTAACAGGTTGGGTATACTGAACCTAAGTGCCACCCATTAATTTCACCCCAAATTCCATTCCTTTTCCTTACAGTAGTACCAAGGGAACATCTGAAACACCTAACTACCGTTTTACACAGTAAATTTCTGAGGTGAAATCCAACGTTATGCCAGTCAAGAGAGCTGGCCCACAAGGCCAAAAAGATTCTATTTTTACAGTCTCTTTAGCCTAACAGAGTAAAGAAGGTAGGTGGGTGGTTGGAGAGGACTGGAGTCTGGCTAGACTAGAGAAAAGTGCTTAGAAGAAACCATTCCTGCTTTTGAAGGCAGTTTATAGGAATCCTGACACTGGGGAGGACAGAGATCACACAGTGTGTCTACAGTCTTCATAGGAGTGGGGAGATGAAATGCAATAGAAGACAATGTTAAACACCCTTTTCTATAGCAATGTAATGCTGATGACAGTAATGGGACCTCAACCTTTGTTTCTTTTTCTTCTTTTAGGCACTTTCTTCCATGTTTCGAAGCATAAAGCTGTTCTGGGAGGGCAAGCTTTTCCTTGGATACTCCAGTCAGTGCTGCTGACACTAAGCCTATTTATTTGTGGTTCCTGCAGGAGGGAGGTCTCTCGATCCAAGAAAACTCAGAGTGATTATTCTGTTTCACTTGCTTGAAAGGCTAACTATATCTGGGAATGCTTAACTTGAAGAGAATGTGAAGAGCTGTGGCTGGCCTGCTATGATGTGCACTGACCCTCTGGCTGCTCCCCTACCACGGAGTACCTGGGTGGGGCTAAGATAGCAATCGCCCAATTCTGGCTGCAGGCGCCAACAGAGGATGGAGAAGAGGGGAAGTGGAGTGGGAAGGTGAGCGGGGCCAAAGGAGAGGGCAGAAGAGGGGGAAGGAGAAGCATCCACACGAGGAAGGCCAGGCCCCGAGCAGCATAACAGTTTTGCATTTTCTGTCATTCTTTTCTACTTGCCTTAGAAGACAAAAATTGATGCAAGTTTGAGAAAGATCACCTCCAGATGGCTAATTTTTCTTCAAAGAGGAGGGAAGTTCACTTGACTCTGAAATTAACATGCAACTTGTAATGATTTGGAGGGCCTTTCCCCTTGCTTTAAATGGACATTCCAAATGCATCAGACTTGTCCTAATCTTTGAATACAATGGTGACCAGGCCTTTAGATCTGAATCCAAGGGTGGTCTGCTGCAGAAAAAATCCCAGGGCCAACCTGCCCTCACACAGGAATCTCATCTACCTCATCACCCCAAAAGTCCTTTCCTGTTCCTCCATTCTGAAGACTCCAGCTAGTCTGAGGGTCTTCCTCCAAAGGTTCTCCTTCCCTCTTCTCCTCACTTCAGATGCCTAAGGCTGGCCACCTTCCCTTCTTCTAAGGATCTAGTCTGAACCCAGCACCCCCAGTAATTCTGTTTGCACAGGGAAAACCACAAATGTCACGTTTGTGACTCAGAGGTTGGCTTTCTTCTGGAATCCCTTCCTACTGACACCATGATAAGGAACCCTGTTGCTTCACTGAGGTCTACAGCTGTGGTTAAGGTAGAGAACCACACCTACGCCTCACAGTAAGGGAAAACGACCAGGCATTCCCCTCATTTGCTGAACATTTGTATCAGAAGGCTGGAAGTGAAGGTCACACTTGTACTCCTGCGGCCACTGGGATGTTAATGAGTCACTGACTCTTCAGGGGAAGCTGCCTGGGTCTCCTGCTGCTAACACACCAGGCCCAGAGGCCCACGCTAGCTGGCAGTGGGCTCAAAGCAAAAAGAAACCCCGGTGGACTGTCTCCAACCTTCTGGACGGGACTGTGAGATACTGCAGGCTACTCTAGATGACTGTCAGGGTGGAATCAGCTAAAAACAAAAGGCTCACGGTTTGCTTTGCCTTCTCATTCAAGACTGGCCACTTCCACTTCAAGGTCAATGAAAGGATGGACCCCAGGGCGTGCTGAGCTACGGACAAACACAAGGCAAGGAAGGGACAAGCACCTCTAGAGTGAGGGCCACAGGGCTTCCTGTGTCCCCACCTCCAGACCCTGACCCGCAGACTGAAAAGCTGAGCCTGGGAGCCAAGCCAGTATCGTCTCAGACCAGCGCCCTCTCTACCGAGTGGACCTCTGAAACACACCCAGAAGGTCTGGGGGTGTCTCTACCTCTGATTAAGAAAATGTGGGGCGCATTCCAAACCAACCAGACAAATGAACTGAGATGAACCTCCACCTTGGGGAGGGAAAGCTGCCCTCCCTCATGTGCTGGCCCAAAGTCGGAGGTCCGTCTCAGTCCATTTGTCTGGTTGGTTTGGAAATGTGCTTTTTCTCTACTCGCCACCATTTCATTTATTCTCTGTCTCCTGGTTGACAAGGGTACACCCTCAGCACAAAGTTAAGGATTCCTCCCCTCCCAGTTAATGCAGACAACCTTCCAGCTACTTCGTTTTGGCAAGGAGGCCTCTGCTTCTCAAAACCCTGGCACACCTTGGACCCTGTCTCCTTGGAGGCATTTCAGTCCACTGCTGGACAGACAGACCCCTCCCTGGGTCAAATTCAGTGGAGACACACTGGCACTTTGACCCGGAGGTGGGGGGAACACCTGCTTCTCATCTCCCCTTGGGAACCCTGGCTGTTTGGGTACCCTTCCCTTGGAAAATGGGCCAAATCGAAAAGAAAGCGCTCATTTTGTTTTTTACAGCAAAACATTCTATGCCAAGCGCAAACATAAAAACACAAACCAGAGAAGAATTGGACCCAAACCCTTCTCGGTGAGGATACAGGTTTGCCTCGCGCTGCTGAGGATTTTAGTCGTTGGACTGTGCAAAATATTCTCAAGAAGGTCCTGGCTCATTTTCAAATATTGTTCCCCTCCACCCAAAAAAAATAAATAGCTGATTATGCCTCTCTAAAAACGTGCGGTCCGTGGACACGGGCTTCGTGTGGTCTGTATGTAATGACACAGCCCGAGCAGGGACGCCTGGAGTTTCGACACTGACGACACTGCCGCCTGCAGTGTCTAGACCCCGGCGGTCAGGTTCTCTACTGAGCCGGCCACGGATGGGGAGGGTGACCCCGCCTGAGCCACGAGAAGAGGCCGCCTGGTCAATGTTTCCACAAAGGGGGCAGACGGGAGCAGCGGAGCGGGAAGCAGAGTCATCGCGAGAGCGAGGCTTTAGAAAAGACAAACGGCTGGTTTCTGGGCTGTCACGATTTTTATGGGGTGTCTTGGTTTGGGGAAACAATCACACGCAATCCAGTCTCAGGTCTAAGTCCCACGTGGCGTCGGCCCGGGCTCTCCTAGGTCTTCTGCTCTGCCGTCGTGGCCGCCTTGGCGGGGGCGTCCGGCTTCATGATCTGGTAGGTGATGAGATACTCCGGGTAAGCCTAAGGAGAAGGACAGATGCGTCAAGGTGGTGGCCAGCACTCAGTGAGGGCGCCCCTCAGAGAAGGCGTGCTTGTGTCCCTGCTACGGCTCTCTGAGGCTTGTCACAAGCCTCGTGGACACGTGCACAAACCAGTATGGGGAAGGTGACGTATTCTTAGCTAAGCAGTGAGTTAAAACGGGATTTCTATTTGGATCCTCATAATTAATTAACCCTCACCCTCCTTTTCTTAGTATGTACTCACCTGCTGTGGTGAAGCCATATGCTCTGGACCGGACATTATGGAAGAACAGAGGGAAGCTACAGAGATGGGGGAGGGTGGGAGGGTTCCCTTGAACCAACCACCCAAGAACGGCAGCGTGCTTTAAATCATGGGCCACTCTGGGATCTCCTCCAGGAAGGGTGACACCTCCGACTTTAGTTGTCTTCCCCAAAAGCCCTCCTATAAGCCTTTCCTGTTTATTTTATTTTTTAAAGCACAGAGGCTTTTAAAATCCCTCTTACCCCAGTTCCAAATTCTCCCCACCCCATATGAAGGCAAAAAACCCCAAATCTATTACAAATATGTACACTCATCCAAAACAAAGGAGAAACTGTTTCACTCTGCTGCCCTCCCCCCCCCAGTCCATCAGTTCGTTCTCTGGAGGTGGGCAGCATTTTTTATCCCACAGTCCTTCAACTGCCAGCCTCGCCGTACCAATGCGAGCAGCTGAGTCTTTCACAGCTGACCATCTGACAGCTTGGCTGTTACCACGCACAACATTCTCCTTGTTCTGCCTGCTTCCCTTTATGTCAGTGCACACAAGTCTTCCAGGCTTTTCTGGGAGCACCCCCCTTGCCATTTCTCACAAGCCAATAGTATTCCATCACGTTCACGTGCCACTACGCATGCAGCCGTTCCCCAGCTGATGGGCAGCTTTTCAGTTTCCAATAATCTGCCAGCACAAAAAGAGCTGCCATACACATTTCTGTATACATGGGTCCATTTTCTCTTTCTCTGCCTTCTTTGAGGTATAGCTCTCATAGGTATTGCTGGGCCAGAGGGTATGTGTGGTACATCTCTAGAAGGAATCATCTGCCGTCGCTTCCTAACCAGCCACTCACACCTCAGCCTCCCACAATCTAATCTGGCTTCTGTCCCCGCTTTCCCCATTGCCAATGACCTCTTACTTGCTAAGTCCAAAAGCTTTTCCATCCTGTCCTCATCTTCCTTCTATTGGCCCTTCTTGGCCTTGCCACTTTTGTTTTGGTCCCTACCTCTTGGGGAGGTCTTTCTTTGCTGACTTGGCCGTTTTTGTTTTCTTTTTAATCTCCCACCTCTAAGTTTGAGAATAGCCCCTAGGCCCTATTTTCTCTACCCTTTGTCTGTTCCCATGGTTTCAATGATCATCTATCCTTTATATCATGCATTAAGGTTTGCAAAGGGTTTCCCAGCTCTAGATTTCTAGGCCTCATCTTTCTTCTTCTTCTTCTTCTTGGTGAGGCAGTTGGGGTTAAGTGACCTGCCCAGGGTCACACACTAGCAAGTATCAAGTGTCTGAGGCCGGATTTGAACTCAGGTCCTCCCGACTCCAGGGCCGATGCGCTATCCACTGCACCACCTAGCTGCCCCCTCATCTAAGGGCTGATGCCACCACTCCTGCGGCCTGCTAGGCACTTCCACTCCAATGTTGCACTGGCACATTCCACGTAAGATGCTAAGAAACTGCCCTTCTCTCCCCACTTCCCCATTTTTGACAGCATAACCCCTTTCCCTTGCCCCCAACAGGGGCTCAGCCTTGAAAGTCTCCTGCTGTTCTCCCAACAGAAAGCGATTCTCCTTAGATATCATACCACTGTCCACCAAGCGCCGCGCTGCCGCCCACGCCCACCCTTCAAAGTCTAGTCCACATGCAGCCTTATTCCTACAGCTCTGCCAGAGACCCCTTGGGAAGACACTGCTGTTTTGGCCGTGCTGCCCTGCAACGTAGGCGCCCATCCCCTTCAGCTGCAGACACACTTTACTAGGTGGCAGTAAGCTCCCTGAGGGCAGGGCCTTTGTCGCTGTTCTTCTGGTCTCTCTCGGTACCTTCCACAGAGTTCTCAGGCAGCAGGGTCAAGGCAGGCACACTTCATAAATCTCTGGTGAATGACTGAATCTTTCCAGACCAGCAGACTCTGTTGTGCCACAAGTCACTCTCGAGGAAAGCTCACACGGCAAGACAGACAAACATAGAGCCTTACCTTTGGAAAACTTTCCCTGGAGTAGACGTTGTCCTACTCTTTGGTAACTCCCCGGGAGCGCCCCTAAATCTTTCTGCTGCAGCCTGGCTCACTGCCTCAGTCTGTCCTCAGCAGACCCTTCTTGAAGAAGGGAGGGTCCTGACCTGCTCAAGACCCTCCTCTTCACCAGGTTCAACCCTCCAGCACGATCTCGCCTGAATTCTGCCAGACAGTCTCCATAGGAGCTTGGGATTGGTGCCCAATCAATCAGCTTCTTCCTTTGGCTGACTTTGATCAGAAGCTTCTCATGCTGTGGGTTTTCATTCTTCTTCAAGACATTTCCAACATAAAGTCAGACTCACTTTGCCTTTCCAACAGAGCTGGATGGATGGATGTTCAGCAAATCTCAAGGCCTGCTCCGGCTCCTGCTGACCCATCCTCAGCCTTGCTCCAGCCTCCACTTCTCAACTCCAGCCCTTGGGCTGCCATGCCTATACCCCAAAATGCTACTGATGTCCAAGTGCCCTTTAGCACTCTCCTCTCTGTGGCCCTGCCCGATCGTGACAGGCAGCCTGGGGTAGCGGGAAGGGAGCTGGCCTTGGGGTCACCAAGTCCTGGGTTCCAGTCCTGCCTCTGTGACCCTGGGCTGTCAAGACACTACCTTTCTCCAGGGAGCTGACCCTTACTACGTCTTGGATCCCTGTGACAGTATGGTGAAGCCTGGGGGCCCCTTCTCTGAAGAATGCTTTGAAGTGCACAAAATTGAACACATAAGATTATAGGGAAATCAAGGCCACAGAAATACTGCCAGGTAGTCAGTTCCCCATGCCAGCCACCTCCTCAGTCCAATCCATCTGTGCCCAACCTACCTGCTCTCCTCTGTAGATCACGTACTCTGCATACGCGAGACCATTGACACTAGGTCTGCCAATAACAGAATGATGGCCGGGGGGTGCATGGGCCATTTTCATGGTGCTGAATTGGAGAAAGGACTTCCCAAGAGTCACTCGACAGAAAAGCATTTGCCTGTAGAAAAGGGAGTGTGACATAGTTTTACCATTTATTTTTATCAGGGACTTAGATGGTGGCACGATGGATGGAACACGGCTTGGAACCAAGGAAGACCTGGTTCAAATCTGGCCTCAGACACTTCCCAGCTATGTGGCCCTGGGCGAGTCACCACCTCTGCTTGCCACAGTTTGCTCACCTGCCCAATGGGCTAATAACACCACCAACCTCCCAGAATCCAATGAGATTGTCTTTATAACAAGTCCTTCATTAGCAGCATCTGGTGTACAGCAGTACTCTACAAGTGCCCATTCCCTTCCCTTTCCTTTCCATAAGACCCTCCATCTCCCGACTCAGAGGCATTTTCTCTGGCTGTCCTCCATGCTTAGAACTCTCTCCCTCCTGACTTCTTTGGCTTCCTTCAAGTGTGTCCTTAAATGCCAGGGCCTTCCCTCTCTTGGTCATCTCCAGTTGATCCCGTCTCCTGCTTTTCTCTGCATTTTCAGTGTTGGCACCCGTTAGGTTGTGAACAATATTAGCTGACTGACTGATTCACAGATCCTGTCTCATTTGTGGAAGGCAGACATTAAAGGGACAATCCTCCCCATGGCACAGATGAGGAAGCTGAGGCCCCATGATGTCAGGTGAGCTGCCCCGGGTCTCTGCTGACTCCAGGTCCCACACTATTCCACCCAGTTCACGATACCTTCCCTGAAGACTACGCCCCACTTCCCCTTCCTTGTTCAGTACCTGCCTGGATGGCTGCAGAGCCTTTCCGAAAACCACTGACTCTTAGGAATCAACGCAGCTGGACACTCACCTGTGACAGATGTAACAGGACCTGTCTTTGTGTGTGGGACAGCCAGTGCCACCTCCAATTCCATAAACATACTGGTTACTTTTAGAAGAATTCTCTGCAAAATAAATCCCAGCACCAAACATGCCCCCTATGTATGCATGTCTCTCATCAAATCCTTTGTGAATGATGGCGTTAATGAAAGGAGAGCCTAGGAGAGAGGGAGACAAAAGCCAGCTTTGGTGAGCCTTGACTGGTGACACAATGTCTAAGCTGGGCGGTCTGACACCTCTGTGCCTCAGTGAGTTACTACTAGTGTGCAGCAGGCTCGCCTGGGAAGGGGTTCTCTTAGTGGACCAAAGACGTTTTGGGGCTCGACAAAGAAGGCTGTTCTAAAGATTTCCCAAACCCTACAGTGCATCTCTTAGACACTTTAGGGTGCATCTTCCCAAATACAAGCGGTCTGACTGTCCATCCTCCTGGTAATCCAGTACACATCACTGCAACTCAGGTCACTTCCCTAGAGTGACTTTTCTTTTTCTGTAGCTCAATTTGTAATTTAAATGTTGCAAAACGCCTGACAGATAAGACAAACGTAATTCATCGTCCTCTTTCATTTCTTCCTCCAGAACCAGAGTTTACCAGTGTGCCTACTATCTTCCCACTGCAGATACAGCACACTCGCGTGGTCTGCAAGACCCTGTCTACCGTGCAGACCTCCTCTCATCAGCAACAGGGGCTGGCACTGAGAGCTAATTATCTTCATGGTGGATTCCCAGAGGCAACACTAGGTGAAGTGACCAAGTGTATCATTTGATTCCATTTCCTTTAGAGAGAGGAGGGAATCGCCTCTAACAGCCACTTCATTGGCCTCCTAAAAATACAGATTCCTTGAAAGCTACAATTCCTGACAAAATTTTGCTCAGTTACTAGTTGTTCAGTGACATCAAGTCTGGGATTACACAAGTGGGAGGACCGAGTTTGGGAAAGGTGTTGCCAACTCTCACAGAGGATGTCCTATGCAAACTCGAACTCTAAGAAGAAATGAGAGCCTCCTTGACAAAACCTCCCAAAAGATCTAGAAAATGCACCAGACCAAATCTTGATTGGGAAATCTAAGGGAAAAAAAAATCACAGCGAGCCATTTTTCTGGTCCAGGGTAGTACAGGAAGACAGACAGGGAGGTCTGTGGACATTGAGGACCAGGCCTAGCCAGAAGTACACCATGCAGATGATTCTGGTGCAGGGAGGGGCTGTGTATCAGAGGAAGAAGAGGGCCCAGATGTACCGCAGAGGATCTAAACCTGTATGGGGTGCAGGAACAGATGTGCACTGAGACTGGCAGCTGTGTTCATTTTTCATTACCCAGCTCCAGAACCCAGATCCAAGGTGGACTGAGGAGGGCATCTTTGCCGACTGGCATTCCAGGGTAAGGAATGCTCTTGGGCCTTAGGCTGCGTCCTGAGCAAGCCCAGAAGCAAGCAGCAGCTGTGTAACCCCAGGAGTGGGGCAGAGACTCAGCTCCGACTTCCAGGCCAGTCTGAAGCCTCCAGACCAAAAGGGACTCCAAACAGGGCAAGTCCACCAACCTATTTCAAACCCAGCTTGGGAACCTGCTGAGCTCAAGACCAGTGGGACAGTGACCAGATCACCTTGGGAGCACTGAAAGCTTCCAGGTGTCCAGTCTGAGTTACTGTTCCTTGCCCAGTCATTCCTCTCCAGAAGTATGCAGAACCAAAGCCTGATCCAAAGTCTGGAATCAGAACGGAGGCTGGGAGAACAGGCACCAAAACACCATGAAAAGCTATTATGGGGACGAGGACTCAGGCCCAGAGGAAGAGAATGACCTCAAGACACCTGAAAGAAGAGCCTCACAAGAAAGCACAGCTTGGGCCCAATTCTCCCCACAAGAGAGGAAGTGCCACTTAAAAAAAAGAGATAAAAGTGTTTATATGATGAAGTAAGAGCATCAGAGGAAAAAAATGCTACAGAAACGAGAATTAAGGAAGAAGGAACTGGAAAGAGATTTAACAGTATAACATATGACATACAAAACTTTGCTCAAGAAATAAATTCCCTGAGAATTAGAATAGACCAGACAGATGCTAACGACGACGAGACGAGAAATAGTAAAGCAAAGTCAAAACACTGAGGAAAACAGAAGGAAAGGTAAGGTATCTCACATAGCAAAAAACAACTGATGTGGAAAACAGATTGAGCAGAAATATATATATTTTTAAGGCAAATGGGGTTAAATGACTTGCCCAGGGTCACACAGCTAGTAAGTGTCAAGTGTCTGGTCTGAGGCCGATTTGAACTCAGGGCTTGATGCTTTATCCACTGTGCCACCTAGGTGTCCTGAGTAGAAATATTTTTAAAAAAATCAATCCATCAATCAATGTTTATTGAGTGTCTACTATGTGCCAGGCACTGTGCTAAGTGCTAGGGATAGAAAAAGGGGTAAAAAACTGTCCCTGACCTTAAGGAGCTTATAATTACTGGACTACCTGAACGCCAGGACCAAAGAAATAGTCAAGACACATCATATTTCAAGAAATGATCAAAGAAAACTACCCAGATCTCTTAGAATCAGAGATACAAAAGCAAAACCAGAAAGAATCCAATGGTTACTTGATGCAAAAAAAAGTCCTAAAATTAAAGTTTCTAGGGCAAAGGAAAAATACTGCTGAACACCCAGAAAGAATTCAAGTACTGAGGAGCCAAGTTAGCATCATACAGAATCTAGCAGCCAATAATTCGGAGTGGAGTGCCTGGAATTCAATTTTCCGGAAAGCAAAAGATCTAGGCTTGTAACTTAACCAGCAAAACTGAGTACAGTCCCACAGGGGAAAAAATAAATGTTTGGTGCAAGAAGAACACTTCTAAGCATTGTTGATGAAAAGACCAGAGCCACAAAGAAACTGTGTGGTACAAACACAGCAGTCACAAGAAACATAAAAAAGCAAACGTGAACAACCCTAAGAGATTAAACAAGGACAAACTGCTTACATCTTAATATGGGTAGACGATACGGGATTTCCATCAGACAGAAGGCCCAGGAGTGGTTCTGTTGTGCTGATAATTTTAAAAGAAGAACGGAAAGGAGGGGGTGGGAGAAGAAGAATAAACTGGGGAGGGATGGAAGGTGTTACAGACAAATTATCTCACTAACAGAAGTGTGCACAAAGAGGAAAGGATGGGAATGCATAAAGACTTGTGTACAGAAACACCTTTACTCAACAGAGAAATGGGAGGGAGAAGGGAGAAGGTGGAGGTTAGGCTAAGGGAGTAAAACAAACTCCTAAGAATGTATAAAAATATTTGGAGTTCTTTTTGCAGTGGCAAAGAATTAGAAATCGAGGGTGTATTCATCAGGTGGGGAAGGGCTGAACAAATTATGGTGCGCGTGTGTATAGATACACACACAGACATATGTATATGTGATGGAATAGTATTACACTGTAAGAAATGATAAAAGGGGGCTAGTTTCAGATAAGCTTGTGGAACTCACACAGAGTGAAGACAACAGAATTAGGAGAACCTTTATACAAAGACAACAATATTGTAAAGTCAAACAACTTTGAAAGACTTAGGAACAGATCAGCGTAATGACCAAGCACGATTGCAAAGGACTCATGAGGAAATAAGTCCTTCTCATAAAGGACTCATGAGTTACATCCATCCATCTATTTATTGTATGTACGTATGTGATGTGTGTACATATTTGGATACAGCCAACATAGACATCTGTTTCACTTGACAATACATGTTTCTAACAAGAATTTTGTTTTTCTTTCTTTCTCAAAGGGGTGCGGGGGGTTGGGTGGGAGGGACAGAAGTTGGATTTTTGCTGATTGAAAAAAATGTATTTTTTTTAAAGAATAATTTTTTACAGAATATGAAGTTCTCCAGACACTTCTGTTTGTGAATGACTTTGTGCTGATCACATCAAACTCCAGACTGACTGCCATTCAAAACAGAATAGGCCAACAAACATACAGGGACTAGAGGATTACAGTCAGTAAATAAGGGTATGGCTTATTAAGGACGAACGAGTCTGTGAGTGTGTCTTATCTTGGCTAGGTACTACAGAAGCCAAGGAGCTGAGCTTAGAAGAACTCATAAGGAAAAAAGCTGGTTGGATTGCATTTGGAAACTGCCCAGGCCTTTTAACAATCCAAACCGCTTTCTGGAACAAAAGACCACCTTTTCAGCACCCGTATTTTCCCAGTTACACTACAGCATGGAATGCCACCATTTCTGACAAAAGTGAAAGGCGCTGGAGAGACCCCAAGGGAGGCAGTCCAAAGGCAGCGGCATGAAGTGGAAGCAGAAAGATTTCATCAAGACACTGTATGAGCAGAGAAGCCGGCTGATGCTGTCATGTCTGAAGGAGTGACACCACCTGTATTAGCCGGGGACACCGGGAGCTGGAGGAAGGCCTGCAGGATGCTGGCTAGGTTCTCGAGATAAGAACCAGGCTGCAGGAGATGAGGATGAGGAGACAGCCTCGGTCCAGGAGTCTGAGGTTTCATCTGAGTGGTCTGAGACCAGGCGCTCGGTGAAGTCTCAGCTCAGACACTAGCTGAGAGATCTTGGCAGATCCCTTAATCTCTTTGGGCCTCAGTTTCCTACTCAGCAAAAAGATGGGAGCGGACTTTATGGCCGCTAAGGTTTCTTCTAGCTCTGAATCTAGAATCTTATTTATGGGGTTTAGGAAGTCCCTGATAAAAATGTGCAAGCCATTAAAAAAAAACCCCCAAACCCACACAAACCACGTTATCAGCTTCTATGTAGAAAATGAACAGAGCTACAATGCACAGTACCTACTATCTAGTGCTCTGTTTATTCAGATCAGGGCTGCTTAGCCTGGGGTTCTCCGAGCTTCTTTCTTTGTGACCCTGTCTCTTTTCTCTCATGTTTTGAGAATGGTCCGTCCACAGGCTTTCCCAGACAACCCAGCCACAGGACCCTTGGAACTCACACAGGTGCTGCTGGCAGGGAGCCTGATTCCCTGCATGCACCACCAAGGAAACCATGCTGGTGCCAGGGACTTCCCCTGACCTCTCACTGCCCTGTGTGGGCTCCCAGCACTGAGCTGGCAGAAACTACCACCCAGCTCTCCTGCTCCAAACCCCTTGCCCCTGGGGGGTCTGTCCAGCACACACGACAGAAAGGGTCCTCACCATGGAACAGCATGCGTTCATTGTGATGGTTGTGATTCTCCTCCGACACCTCCTTCTGTCTGTGACAGAACCGTTCCCGTAACTTCTTGTTCACGACCTTCTGAATCTGCAGCGGTGAGACAACAGTAGGCACGGACCGTCAGTCAAGCAGTCTGCCAAACGACACTGTGAGACTGAGAGAGGGAAACGATGAGCCTAACACCGTGCTGCTTGGTGGAATCATTTCTGCTCCCACAAAGACAGCTTTTTTTGTCAGGTAGTGCGACCCAGTAAGTCTGGGGACAAATCCTGCCAGACACTCATTAGCTGTCTGACTGGTGGCAAGGCCTGGCTGCCCTGTACATCTCAAGCAGCTCCCTCGTCCTCCCCTACCATGAAGCCACATCTGGTCCTGCTCGTGGCAGCTACTGCCTGCCCAGATCCCTCCCCGGGTCCTGCCCTCTGGCTTCCAGGGCCTCATTCTGGAGGCCCCCTACGCCTCCGACAGCTCCAGGGAGGAGGGGGAACCTGTCAAACGCCCTGCGGTGGCGGGTCCCTTGCCCTCTTGCACCGCCGGGCCAGCAAGCTTTTCCTCTCTCTGCTGGGTCGTGGTGACAGCACACCCTCCTGGGCTTCAGACTGTTACTGTAAGCGGCAGCAGACAGACAGACACAGACAGACAGACAAGAGAGGCCCTCCCTGCACCCCCCAGAGGGTGGCGGGCTGGGTGCAGTCGCTCTCCATGGTGCTAGGCTGGCCTGTGTTCAGCAGACACCGCAGGCTTCTCACAAGGCTTGTTTCCTGCTTGGAAGGACCCACGAGAAGCACACAGCCACCCCCCGGCCAGGCAGCCGAGCAGGAAGAGAATGCCCTTAACAAAAGTGATTTTTCCATCCAATGGGATGAACCTGTTTGGCACAGTTCTTATGCACCTTCTATCTACTCATCCCTCTGTAAACAAAGTCGGAAACGTGGTCTCATGCCACAGGTGACAGGAAACCACACGGGATACACACTGAGGTCAGAATTCACACGGGAGCCCTCCCTGCCTGAGCCCCTCAATCTACCACCTGTCACTACTGTCAGTACAAACCTGGGGGTGCGCCAGTGGGAGACACCCATGTGCCCCTGCCACTCCCACCCTACGGGGAGCACCGCTGCTCCCAAGGGGTTTCCGTCTCTTTCCAGCCCTTGGTGAGGAGGGCACAGGAGGAGGGAGAGGGAGGCCCTGTCTAGGGTCAAAGCGGGGCACCTGGCTCTAGGGGGCAGCCCACACGGAACGCACGAGCAAGTGCAAATCTTACCACACTTACCCTAATGACATTGTATCGGTTGAAGATGCCTCCGGCATTACCTCCGTCTCTGTGTTCCCTGATTGTACTCTGCATCTGTACAAAAGAATGAAATGGCCAAAGTGATGGCATCGCCCAGAGGACCAGCACGTCAGGATCACAGAGCTGGCGTCAGATCAGCGGGTGACAAGGTCAGTTAGTCACTCCTTACGTGCCCCGCTCGAAGCATGAAGATGTCTTCCTGGACCACCTGGTCTCCTCGCATCCCTTCCAACATTTCACCTCTACCCTGTCTTTCCTGGGTGTTAAGCATGCCAGATGTCACAAAAGCATCTGGATTCTTAGTACTTCACTAAGTTCAGGGGTAAGGAAGCAGGCAGGGAGCAAGCCGTAATGGAGAGAAGCTTGAATTTCAAACACGGCTACCATTCTGCGGACACACCCTCCTAAAGGCTGCAAAGAAAAAGGCCCAATGGAGGAATAAAAACCACGCTGTGTCACAAGACTCCCCAGCCATACGTGGCTATTTTGGGCTAGTCGGCACATTCTCTCTTTTATTTCAGAAAACAATTCCCTGGAAACCTGTGTTTTTTACCAGTCTGCTATCAGTCATCACCGTGTCAATGCTTCTCTCTTTGTCTAGGTCTCATTTGTCAGGTGGCCCCTCATCTCCACTGCATAACCTGTCCAGGGTCTCTGTCTGCAAGCACATGAGATTCCCATGCCGCTGTGCAATTCCTCTTGCGGCATGGCCCCACACAGTGACTCGACACCCATTACTGTGCAAAGAAGCCAATGACAACAGTCATGATTCTGCTTTTCCAGTGAGTGTGGGTGCCTGAGGAAAACAGCTGCAGCTCTTGGCTGGACTCCTCTGTCCATGGGGGGGGTGTGCCTCCGGTGTTCCTCCTCTCAGGAGTGCCCACAGACGGTGGAATGGCTGCCCTGCCACTTGCTGCTGATGTCCTCCCCGGGCACAGACACACTGCTATTCTGGAGTTCATAAACATGCCACCCGTGGGAAGCACCGGACTTGCCAGACTGAACACACGGTGGAAAAGCTGGCACAGAGCGCCATTGGGACCTTCTCAATTCTTTTGGGAACACAAAAGACTAAGGCTCGATGGAAGTGCTCACCGCGTCGACTTGCAGGCGGGAAGTGAGGGGACCACAGGTCCCCACAGTGCCCAGGCTGCACACTGTTCAGGAGCAGGACCATTTCCACGTACGCTGATTTCCTGGGGCTGCACAAGGTGTTCTTGTGACCTCTGGTTGGCCAGGTCAGCTACTTTCCTCAGCTCCCCTCTGCAGAGCGAGGAGTTTTGGCTAGATGACCACCCTCCTCCCTCCCAGCTCTGAATCCACACCCATCGGGGTCTTCCTGGGCTGCCTGCCTTCTCGCGGCTGCTTCCGTTGGTGAGCTCCTTCAGGCGGTGCGCTCTAGATCCTTCCTTCCCTGGCTGGCACAATCTTCTCCAGTGGCTTTCACAGGCATCCCTCCAATCATTGCCAGCGCTAGGAATGCCCTCTCACAAAATAGTGTTACGATGAGCTGAGAGTCTCCCAGTTTCCCTTGCTGTTGGCGGAACCTGAGATGGTCTGATTCAACCGTATATGAATGTTAACACCTCTCCAGGAGGTGTTCTTTTTTTCATTCCATTTTCTCAGTTTCTTTCCTTGATGAAAGGCAGTGCCTGGCCAAGAACCACTCCTCACTCCCAGGAACAATCTGGCTGCCCCTTCCCTAATGACCCCAAAACACAGGGGTAGGCACATCTCACATTTTCCACCGCTGCAACCAGAGAGCCCCTGTGAAACCACTCAGCTACCGTGCCACCCTTGAGATCAACTCCATCCATCAACCAGCTCGAGTCCCAGACATATCCTGACCTGGCTCATGGTCTTCCTCTTCATCCCAACCCTGCTCTAAGAGTCAAATCATTTACCTGTATCGATACCTCTATGTATGTATGTATACAAATATGTTCTACCTGAGTCTGTCTGCCTCCCCGCCCCTCCCCCGGTCTTCCCTAAGCTGCCAGGGCACCGACCCTCCTAGTTCCTTAAGGCCAGATCTTTCTGCTCTCACTTTGGTCATCCCTGGCCTCACCCACTGCCCCGACGTGTGCTGCCTGCACAATCCAGAACTCGCACCATGACCTCTAATCCGCTCCCCTCTTCCTAACCGCCTTCATGGCCGGCATGGCTTTTCTCATGTCTTCCTCCTGCAGCACCTCTGCCCTAGCCTGACTCTCTTCCCTATTCGCTACCCTGGGGCAGACTCCAAGTCGGCATGACCTAGGATGCTCAAGTCCTGTTTCCCGTAAGCCGCCCAACAGCCGCTGCCCACGTTAGTGGTGGAACACAGCGTCGACGTCTCACCTAGGCCCTCAATGGGGTCCAGGAAGCCTCTCCTTCCTCCCTCCCCAAGCCCTCGACAAAACATTTTTTTCTCTCCCTTGTCCTCAGAATTACACCTGCCGTCTTATCTAGTCTGAAAGCAGTGGCCATCCTGAGCCAGGTCCCTCTTCTCTCCCACCACCATAAGCCTCAGTAGTGGTGCTGGGTCCCCCTCTTGGATCTCAAGAGCTCTATGGGTTGATTAGCTTTTCTCTTTGCACACACGATTCCCAGGTCCATCTATCCAGTCCTAATCGCTCCTGAGCCCACAGTTCCACATCACCACTTCCTGGATGGCCCTTGATGGTCCCCTCGGCCCCTCACACTCAACACGTCCACAATGGCACTTACGGATTCTCCCAAACCCTTCTCCATTCTTCTTATCTCTATGGAAGGCAATACCATCCACCCATTCACCATGTAATCTTCTCTAACTCTTCATCCTTCTCACCAATTTTACTCCCGACTGTCTCTCACTTCTGAACCCTCCTCCCTCCTCACACAGCCTCTAACCAAGGTTCAGACCCTTACACCCTTTCTCACCTTGTCTTCCCATTCTCCAGACCACACTGCATAAGGTCTGACCATCACCGCCTTAACTCTGCTTGGCATTTAAAGCCCTCCATGCCTGCTGCCTCTCATCCACCATTCTAGACAGACTTTGCCTTCTATTTCCAAGCTGCTCTGGCCCACCGGGCGCTCCCCAAACCTGCCACGCCATCTCCCACTTTTGTGCCTTTCTCCCCTCCCTGGTTATGTTTCTCCCCCCCCCCCCTTTTCAGGATACTGAATGATCCCTGTCAGGTGTAGCTGGCCTGCCATTTCTGCAGCCTGAATCCCACCAGAGTTCATATTCTCCCCCTCCACAAATGACCACAGATACTTATCTGCTTACATGCTGCGCCCTCCCCGTTCCCAGCAGAACACAGATGCCTTGAAGACAGGGACAATTTTATTTTTGCCCTGTGCCTACAACACGGCCTTACACATAATAGGTACTATATGTGTTGGTCAAAGGAGATATGGACAGATGGCAGTTTGTGTGAAAAGGACCCATGTTTTAGTGAAGTCCAAGTTCACTGATTCTAGAAACTGTCCATGCTCTGTCCACTGCCCCAGTCCCAAGTGCTGGGGTCAGCTCTGGGCAGTATATTGTGGAGTGTGCACCTGGAAGAGGTGAGGGAAAGGGACATGGTTAGCTTATACAGGAGACGCGTGCCTCAGCAGGGATTTTTAACCTTTTGTTTTATTTCATCCTTGAACACTCTGGCAAGGCCTACAGATCATCTCTTATGAAAGCTTTTTTTTTTTTAAATAAACCAGGATGCCAATTTATTCATTAGCCCTGGGGATATGGTTTTGAAGACACCAGAATTCTTGGGTCTGTTAGCCAGTGACCCCTGTTTCTGGTAGGAAGCCATTTATGAATGTTTTTAAATAGAAGGAAATGCAACATTTCTGTTACAGGTTAGTGAAGATAAAAGTGGCATTTTAAAAAAAATCTAAATCCACAGAAATCTATGCATGGACTCCAGGTAAAATCCCTGTCTTACAGGGTACATGGCCTATCTCAAAGGACTGCCATGCAGAAAATGGATCAGACTTAGTTTCTTGGCCCCTTGGGTGAGAACTGCAAGAGAGGCAGCTTTTGGCTTAGCATAAGGGAGAACTGTGCAATTCAAAAAATGAGCACCTTGTCACCAGAGGTAGTCCACAGGAGACTAAGATGGCTCAGGGTGTCTGAGTATTCTCATGCTGGATGGAGGTGGAAGCTGAGGATCCCTCTGGTCACGAGTCACATGCTCTACATCAAGCTGATCTATACCTGCCAGACCTTACCACATGTTCATTCTATCTTCATTTGAGACTCTTGGTGTTGCTGAGGAAGAGTTCTGAGGTCTAGGAGTAAGTCCCAGCCTGTAGCTCTTATACAAGTGATGTGCACTGGACCAGAATTAGTTCTGATAAGTAGAGATCCTTCCTAGGATCTCGCCCCTCACTGAGGTGGGTCTTCCTCTAGAGCCCTGCCTTCCCCATGGGGGGATTCTGTGTGGCCCCTGGGCTGTCTATCAGCTGGGGGCCGTTCTAGCCTCCTCATGCCCTCTCTTTCTGAGCATCTATTTCCTGAAGAGTCTATTTTAAGGCACTTTAGGCATCCAATTCAACGTCCTTTGGCCCACCCATAATGTGGATTTCTCATATAAAACTTCAGCAACCCAGAGTCACAGGCAACTTCCTGATTGTGGTCCAATGTGTTCCCTTGTGGGCCCATCAGCAGCACCTACAGAATACATGCTAAACCAAGCCCCAGCACACAGCGGCCCCTTGCTGCAAGCTCGGCACTGTCCTCGCATGGCACACAAATGCTGCCTGCCTGACTGATTAGCACATTCTGGGAAATACATCACCTCTTCTTCTACCGACTGATATTCCTTGTCGTCTGGAGCAAGGTCTAACAGGATCGTTCCCTGATTAACACAGTGAAAAGTCAAGTAAGGATTGGTGCCTACAAAGGGAAAAGAAACAGACACAGTCACTGTTACACCACCACTGGAATGTGTTTTTTAGGTAAAACCCAAAATATCAGGTAAAAACACACCAAATACCAAAAACCACACCCCAAATACCCAGTACAGAAGCTGAGGCTATGAGCAGCCTAATGTGTGTGCCCCTGATGAAGTAAGACAAACCAGGTGCCCTCCACTGGAGTGGGGGTAGGGTTCAATTTACTGATGCTGGTTGGTTTCATGAAGTCAGGAGAAACCATCTGACCACGCAGCTCAGAAAAGTGACTGCCCCCACTGATCCCCAGTCACAGGGAAGGGTGGGTGGGCGGGCTTTCTTAATTCTGCAGGAGAGTCCCTGCGGCCCTGCCCTGGCCCTCCCCGTGCTGCTTTCTGGGAGGAAGCACCCTGTGTCCACCTCCCAGGGGACAGGCCTCGGCTCTGCCCGTGCCCTCCTGACGTCTTGGAGTGGGTCACTCCCAATGCTCAGGTCCAAAATCCCCTCGCCTTGCAGATACTGGTTATCAGAATTGACTTCCTTGGGGCATAGTCCCCCTCATAGAGTCTCTGGTCAAAGGGTATGTTAAGTTTTCCTAAAGAGGGACTCTCATCATGTTCTTTCCCAGAGAGACTGCCTCAATTTGCTATCTTCATTCCATGGCTGCACAGGGACACCTCATGGCTGTCTGAAGTTGCATTTTCCTGACCGTCAGTAATTTTGACCCACTGTTCAGGCAGGTGTGGGGAGGAGTTTATTAACCTCTGCTCATATCCTTTGACCACTTGTCTCTCAGGGAGCAGGCTCGCTTGACTGCTCCTCAGATATCTGATCATTTTCTGCATTTCCTCTCCGTTTGGTGTGTACTCACTGAAAACGCTGCCAACTGGGCTGCTTCCTCCTTCGCTAGCTAGCTGGCTGGTACACTCACTCCTCTGATCGGGATGAGGTAATGGGAAGAGGGCTAGATTTGAAGTCAAAGGACCTGGGTGCGAATCCCAGCTCTGCCACTTCTTGGTAGACCTTGGGTAAGTCACTTTCACCCTCTGGGCCTCAGTTTCCTCATCTGTAAAATGAAGAGGCCTCTGAGGTCCCTTCTAGCTCTAGAACATGGATGTTATGATCCTACGATGACAATGAGACACCAGAGAGAAGCTGGACAAGGCTCCTGAGAACGACCCAGACCCAGGGCTGCTTCTTACAGTCATCAGCCCCTGTGCTGGCACTCATGAGAAGCTGGCACCCGGAAACAGCGAGCTGGGACCTGCTCCTTCTCCATTCAGGGCAGTGACAAAGCCTCGGCAGAATCACAGGACTTAGGTCCCGAAGGAGCTCTTACGAGCCCTCTTGGCCAGTGGCCTCACTTTAGAGGCAAGGAACGGAGGCTGGGGAGGGGAGACAAGGGGAGAATCTAAACCAGGGCCCTCTGCAACCCCAAAGCCATGCTTCCCCTAAGACCCATCCTCTTCTTTCTAGGATACCACATGGTGTCTCAGGGGTCTGGAATCCAGGTGCTAGGACTAGAGAAGTGGCGTCTCCGAGGTCACGCAATCTCGTCCTTTCGTTTTATAGGTGAGGGGACTCAGGCCTGGAGAGGGGAAGGGATTGGCCCAAGGTCGTACAGGCTGTAAAGTGGCAGAGCTGGAACCTGAACCCTGGTCCTCAGACTCCAAACCCAGTGGTCTTTCCAGTGCACCGTGCTAAAATCAGTTTATGCATCAGAAAGGAGCTAACATTCCTCGGAGAACAGGTCTCAGAGCCCCCGTAAGGGACCGATGCCTCCATTTCCAGAAGAGGAGGTGGCTGCCCAGGGCCACACAGCCAAGAAGTAGAAAACATTCAGCACCTGAACCCCTGCTCCCCAATTCAGCGAGCTTTCCGACATGCTGCGCCGGCCCCCGGCCCACAGAGATGACCTGCTTGGCTCTGCTCTGATGCTGCTTCCTAGAAACGAAATGTTAACTCCCAACAGCAGCTCAGTGGTGCAGGGACAGACTAAGAGCGTTGAGTCACGCAGAAAGATGTGATGGAGTTCAACTTCAGCCTCAGACTCGACTAGCTGGGTGACCCTGGCCAAGTCACCTCTCCCTAAAGTGTTGCAAGGGTGGAAAAGCGCTGTACACAAGCCAAATCACAGGATTCTCCTAAAGAAGCCCGGGCAGGCCGAGGCAAAGTGATGTGCCCAGGATCACCCAGCTAGTCTGTGTCTGAAGCTGCATTTGAACTCAGGTCTTCCCGACTGAATCCAACATTGCTCGCTCCCCCTACCTCCGCCCCTTTCTGCTTCTTCCTCGGGGAACCAGCAAATCAAGTCACTGCCTCTGGAAAGGGGCTATCAGCTGACTCTCCTCGGACCCCATCATTTCTGTGACTTCCCCGAATACAAACGCTAAGTCTGGGCCAGCAAGCTCCATTAGAGCGTAAGCTCCTGGAGGGCAGGACTGGTCTTGCTTCTGTATTTGTATGCCCACCGCTCCGTGTCCTCCACGATTTCTGCAGCACAGGGCTGGGCGCAGGAAGTGTTAAGTGAGTGGTTTTCCACCGACTTTTCAGTACTAAAAACAATCAAGATGGCCCAGGCTGCTGGCCTCCATTCGCCATGAGCGTCTTACCTTGTTGCCCTCCTAAAAGTCTTTCCACCCCCTTGATTAATTTGTGACGATGCCCATATGCATTGATGCCTATTTCTTTCAATTCTTCATGACCCATGTCTGCCAATACATCTAGGGTTATCTGGAAAATGGGAAAGACAAATCAGGAGTTAGGACGTCACCAGCTACTGAGGGGCCACCAGAACTTCACAGTCTGCGTCTGATAATTGTTCCCACTTTCTCCTATTTGCCTTTTGATTCTTCCGTGACAAGCACAATGAATTCACTCCTCTTAAAAAACGCACTGAAATGTGTCAAAATTATGGAATGATTTTTGTTTTCTTCAACTGCCCTTGAGGTAAAAACCATATGTGCCCAAGGAGAAGCTGGAGGAGCCAGGAAACCAAGCTCACTTTGGCAGAAGGATGGTGGGGGAGATTCAAAGTGGACACAACCTCAGTATAGCTCGACATGTCATGGTAGACCAGCAGAAGGTGTCACCCTCAAGACCCTTTCACCAGACCACATCGAAGGTCCAGAGGAAGACAACCAGCAAGGATGCGTTCAACTATGACCTAACAGGAGGAGCTGGTGAAGGAAAGGACTGCTGATGCTCACTACCTGAAGCGGGGTGGACCCAGGACCAAAGAATGCAAGTTAAGACAGAAATACGCCCGCTCAGGATATACCTGATAATGAGAACTATCTAAAAGTGGGAAGTGCTGCCTTGTAGAGACGGAGTGTTCTCTGGAAGGGAGTGGGGTCAGGGAAATGGTCGCGTCCGGAGCCAGAGGGTGAGGGGCTCAGAAGGCAGTGGAGGCAGCACACGCAGGTGGCTTCTTCTAGACTCCCATTTCTTCACTGTATTAGGGACTCTCTTTTACTGACTGATTTATTCATTGCCTTACTAGTGTTTCTACACAGCTTTTTGCCCCGTGAAGATGTCCTTTTCCCTCCCCTCCTTTCATTCAGTGGTTTCTTGCTGTGATGAGGGGAATTGGGCTCCCTCAGACGTCACACGGGAAGCCCTGCTGGACAACTGTCCACAGTCCCTAACTTCAGCTCCTTGCTCTGTCCCCTTCTTTAAGCCATACTTTTCACAGCTGCTAAAGATGCTCAAGACCACTGCTTCATAACAAGACAGTGAAGGAGAGACCTGTGGAATAGGCTGTCTGTTTATACTCTCCAAATAACATATCCTGCAAAACTGAGCTGATAGTCAAGAAAAAAAGACATGGTACAAGAACCTAGAGGCATTTCCCTAAAGGAAACCCGGTGAGACAATCATCCAGCAAAAGAAACACAATAAAGATAGATGTAGGCATCGAGGAAAGAATAAGCAATGAAGATGAAATCAGTGCTTTCACACTTCTAGGGTGAGACAAAGAGAGCACAACTTTTTTTTTCCCAAGTTCTTCTAGGGCAGCGAGGTGCCACAGTGAGTAAAGCTCTGGCTTTGGAGTCAGGAGGACCTCAGTTCAAAACTGGCTTCAGACACTTGACACTCACTAGCTGTGTGACCCTGGGCACAACACTTAATCCTGACTGGTCACCAAAAAAAGTCCTTCTATTCTTTGAGGCCCACTACAGCAGAGCACCCAGGATCAAAGTTCAAAGGGCTTCAAAAGACTCAAACAGAGGGCACCAAGGTTAATTCATGTTTCATGGCTCATTGGCTCCTTGAACATGTTTGAATCCAGATTTACTCTTTTCCTAAGGTGCTGAAGCCTCTTTCACTCACCTCTGATGAAGAATGGAAAAGACCAGAGAAAGGTGACTCTCTAGACAGCCAGATAACTAAGCTAAGAAAGCTAAGCACTGGTGAGACTGAGGCCTAATTATGCTACCAGAAATGTTGGAAGAAAGAGGTGCAAACTGCCAGGAACCTCTCTAGGAAGGACCGATGGGTGACTCTGGCCTGCTAGGTCACATGAGAATTCTGAGACAACCCGAGGCACCAAACAAAGTCATTCAGTACAAGATAGAGAGCTAGGGTCCTATTAGAGAGACATATCGCTGGTTAATTAGCGACCTTATACTAGAGCTCTACTCCAGTACTCCATCACAGTTGGGAGGTGCCCCACAAACTGTGAGGAGGTGCCAAGCATGCAGACTGGCTCAGGGGCAGATGACCCTCATGTCAGAATGCCTCATCACTAGGAGACCTCACTCTAAGAACGAATGTTTCTGGCCACGGCAGGTGACTCCATGGTCTACTAAAATGCCTCGGAGGTCTGAGCAGTCCTAGCCACACCAAGGAAATCATGGTTCTTCTGCCAGCCAACGCTGGACCTGAAGAGGTTCCCTATTAGTGCTACAAAGGGCTCCTTTCACAACGCCTTCCTTAGAGGCCCATCTGTGTAAGGGTGCCACACCTAGGAAGGGCACTTTTGAGTGGGAATGCATTCAGAGGAAGCTAATGAGGAGGTTAGTGAGGGGCCTTTGGACAGTGCCATAGAAAAGGACCCTTGGGAGGGCTCACCTCCTCCTCCTGATTTCTAAACACATTTGCCAACATTCTAGATTGAAACAGAATCTGCCCGTCCGGTAACTGGAGAAGAGTTTATACAGGAAACTGCCCGAGGTGCATGAATCTGCTTTAGTATTTTTAATGGGTTGCTCAGGGAGTAAGAACGGAAATCCAAAATGAAAGAAGAGGCCGGCTCTGAATGAGCACCCAGGAGAAATATCTGACCAAACCCAACGTGGCACCACTGAACAAGACTTTTCTTACCTGTTCTGTCTCAAATATATCCCGGAGGTGTTCAAGGCCCAGGCTTTTGAGGAACTGGCTGATATTCATGTCAAGACCTGTCACTGTAACAATACAAACGTGGGAAGGTGTCTGAGCAAGGACTCGCTGTGGAGACTGGGCACTGTGGGTTGCATTACCCACTCTGCCCAGCCAAGAAGGCACAGTGATTCCTGCAGGCCCAATGCAACTAAACAGATAAGGGATTCCCCAGCAAACTCTTCAGTAGTGAATGGGGGGTGTCCATTCACCTTTATCTGTAGCTGTTGGTTTTTACCCACATCACGCAGCCTAACCATGGCAAATACACATCTCCTAAGTGGCTGTGGTTCACACTTTTGCTGTGTTTCCCCCCCCAGCAAATCATTGCAATCTTTTCTGAGCCAACTTTCAACAGTGAGGAAAGGACTGCTGAGCAGGTCAATGACCCCCCAGGCCTGGCCTCTGGATTATCGGAAGAGAGAAGAGCAGAGTCCCCAAGAGACCCAGTGCCTGAAGGTGCTCGGGAAGCGGCTTACTATTAATCTCATTAGGTCTGTACTGCGTGTGGCTACTTCTCCCCGGAGAGGCAGCCTTCCAGTGACCTTTCTACCACTCCCACCAGGAAAATAACATCCTTCACGCCACCTTCCTAAGTGCCAGCCCCGATGTCAGCTTACCTTCCCCTTCTTTCCTCTGCGCCCCCGCTGCTCCATCCCCAGCATTGGAAGGCCCTCCTACTGCTAGCTCCGCCAAGGGGCCGGCGAGGTTGTCCAGGCTGCTTGCAGCAGAAAGGCAGGATGGGGTGGAAGCTGGGGAGATGAGCGAGGCACTCACAACAGTAGCCTGGGGCTTGAAACACGTAGGCAAGGCCTCCGGGGGCATGGCGTCGATCAGCAAAGCTCGGATGTCATCAGCCTGCGAAGGAATGCACACCAGGGGCTCAGAAGTGCTGGCTTGGGTCTGGGCTGGAGCTGCCCCCACCTGCCTCCCTCCCTTCTCTCTGTCCCTGGCTTTTTCGATCTCTCTTTTTCTTTAGCACTTTGTTTAGGTGGAGCCAGGTGAGCCTGAGGATCATTTCAGATCTCAAGGACTGGACCTCCATGTTTTTCAGGGGCCAGTGAGACCATCTATAACTAATCAGTTTTCTTCTTCCTTTTTAAAGTGGGCATAATAATCTTGGATTTTCAATTTCTGTTTTAGTAATAAATGTATCACTAAAACCAGATTTTTAAATACATGCTTTTTCATTTGGTCAGTTTCTTTGTTAAACTGAAGATAAAATGTAGTTTCAAAGACCACTAATTATTCTGACCTAGTCATTCAGGTCAACACCCATGTGCTTCTTATCTTCTACAAGGATTGAAAAGTGAAAAATAGGGAATTGGAATGTGTGGCGAATGGTATCTTTTGGTCAAGACAAGATGCAACAGAAAACTTTTAAAAACTGCTTGTTTCAAATGTTTCTTTGATACCTCAGTGCACTTTCCTGCCTTGTTAACAGTACAGGTTATTACCAAAACTCACTCTGCCTTCCTTTAAGGGCCGTGGATCTTAGCAGGGATCAGCATCACATATGTCCACATACTAAAGTGGATGTGACTACCCCCATCGCCAATGTAATACTGTAAATGATAGCCAATCTTGTGGGAACTGTGTGAACCAAACCAACTCCGTCTTGTAAAGCCGACCCCATTCTGAGACTCTGATTTCATTTTCTGCTCCCCTCCCCAAATGTGGGACCTGAATGACAGTCTAAGGCTGTAAGGAGCTTAAGGAGGCTGGGGAGCCCTATGTTTGGAGTCAGACTGAGGGGTGGCGGGGGGCTTTGGACCAGCCCCCGACGGCCCAGTGAAACATGAACTTGCCGTTGCTAGGTCTAGCGGCGTCTGTCCTTCCTGATTCTTCATGGTCGGATCTGCCCCGTGCGCCAACAGCAGGGCACACAGCTGCGTTCTTCCTTTCTGGGCTGCTTCATGTAACGGAGTGAAGGCCCATTTATCTGTGGCATTCACACATGTATTGTATTTGATCAGCAAAGCCGCGATGTCCACGTGCTGCAAAAACACAAGGAACAAAACCAGTGATGAGGACAAGTCCCTGTGGGGACGTCAGCTTCCCCTCCTGACTTGTACTCTGGACTCTTGCCCTTCTTACCACCTGCGCTCTCCCCAGTGGACTCTAACACCCTCAGGCCCCCCTCATCTTCAATCTATTCCCACACCTGCCAACCTGACCCCTAGGTCTGACCTACAACCCACTGTCCATCCAAGATTTCTTTCTTTTGCAGCCAAACACTTTGAAGGTATTGCTTGTAACTATTACCCACAAAATCACAGCATTTCAAAGCTGAATGGACCTCAGAGGCTGATTCCAACCCATCCATGAAAAGAATTTCCACTCTAACATATAAGCAATGGCTTGAGCATCTCCAGGGAGGGCTGACTCCTGCCCCAAGATGGCCCTTTCTCCTCTGAGTGAGGCAGATTTTCCTGACCTCCAGCTTCCATGGGCATCCTGACTACTTCACCCACTGCTCCTGGCTCTCCTCTCTGGGATCAAACAGAACACGGGGCACCCCTCTTCCACACGCTAAGCCTTCCAATGTTTGAAATGAGCAATCCTGTGCTCCCCTGAGGCCTTGACCCTTGCACTGCTTCCCATACACACTCCAGCTCCTGTGGCTGAATCACACAAAATCTTGGTAGTTATACCTCCCAAGGTCAGTCCTTCAACTCCCCCTCCCCCCCCCTGAACAAGAAGCCTCTCCACAATAAAAATCCTCCGGCAGCCCTCCCACCTTGGGAGGCAGCCCATCACACTTTGGAAAACTAACTGATTGGCAGTTTTCCCTTCTATCAAGCCTTTCTGGGCCAGCACTCCTGCAGCATAGTAGAGTGCACATCAGCTCCTTGAGAAGAACTTGGTCTATAGCCCCAGCCCCAAGCACACAGTAGGGGATTAACAAAGGCCTATTGGTTGACTGTTTCCCTTGGCCCTCTGGGGCCGACACTTGGTCGCCATGCCCTGCATCTTGTGTCCTTTGGCTTCAATATCCCTCATTTCTCCAAATGATTTTTTTTTGGGGGGGGGGTTAGGCGATGGGGTTGAGTGACTTGCCCAGGGTCACACAGCTAGTAAGTGCTATGTGTCTGAGGCCACATTTGAACTCAGGTCCTCTTGAATCCAGGGCTGGTGCTCTATCCATTCCTCTAAATGATTTTCATACAGACGTTCGCCAGGCACCAGAGTGCACACTTCACACGTCTGCTGTACAAAATACCGCTCTGCTCGCCAGCAGTCAGAGGCGGGACACACGTGACATTGGTCATCCCCATTCTCTCACATCATGTCTGCTGCCTGCTTCCTCCCTGCTTCCCAATTTGTCCACTTCTCCTTCATCCTCAAAAACACCACCATAAACCCAAACTAGTGGATTCACCCCTCCCTGACAGCTACTGTCCTGTACCTATCTCTCCCCAAGCCCCTCGAGAAGGCCATCTTCCAAAGGGGCCTCTACTTCTTTCCTCTTACTCTCTTTTTAATGCGCCAGTCTGGTTTCCAGCTTCATCATTCAAGCAAAGCTGCTTCCCCCAAATTACTAGCCTCTCCTAATTGTCACGTCCAGTGGCCTTTTCTCCATTTCCCCTTGTTGACACTTCTCTGTCCTGGCTCTCTTCCTACTGCTTTTGGATGCTCACGGAGGTCCCACTCACTAACTGGATGGCCCCGAGGCCCCGTCCTGAGAGCCCTTCTCCCTTTATGCGCCATTTCACTTGGTGATCTCATTAACTCCCATGGATTCCATGCCATCTCCATGCTGACGATTCTTAGATCTACGGATCCAGTCCTAACCTCTTTGCTGACTTCCACTCTTTTATTTCCAACTGTTGACTGGACAGCTTCAACTGCAGGTCCTGGAGACATCTTAAACTCGGTATGTCCAAAACTGAACTCGTCGTCTCTCACCTTCAAATCCCTCCTCCTTCCAAATTCTGTATGACTGTTATGGTGCCACCAACTTCCCAAACTCGATTCAAGGTGTCATCTTCAACTCCCCATCCTCTCTCGCTCCCCAGATCCAATTAGCTTTAAAGTAACATCTACCTTTGCAGCACATCTCCTAAGTGACCGCCCCCTTCTCTCCACAGACGCTGTCACCCTCCTGGTGCAGGCCTCCGTCACCTCATGCCCAGATTACAACAATAGCTGCTGGCTGGCCTCCCTGCCCCACTCAGCTGTCAAACTGATCTGCCTGAAGCACAGGCTTGACCATGTTATGCCTCTCTTATCCTCCTTCAAAAATCTCCAGTGCTATAGAAATACGAGCTATTTTGTCCTTCAACAAATCAGCTAAATTTGCATTCCCAGCTTGTCAGCCGTGAGACAGGAAGAGTGCTATGATGTTCTCTGTTTCAGGGAATTGTTATGATGGTGACAGGAGTATGCAGCATCGGAATCTTTCAGAGGAGCAAGCTTTCATTGCCTCGTCACCTTGTTATCTTACCCCTCCATCTGCCAAGAATGAAGTTAATCTAGCCAATGACTTTGTATAGATTCTGGGCTACTCAGATGTGGCAGCTATAACCAAGTTGCCAGCTTTTACAGAATTTAGTCCCTATGATAATGAAGATGAAAAGATGTATTTCAGTTTCAGGCAGTTTCTAACCCCTCAGCTTCCGAATTCACCCACTTCCTCCAGGTTCACTCTACCTCAGTCAGTCTTCCACCACCATCATCTGTAACTAGGGCACCTCCAGGATCCTGACACCAGGACTTTCCCTTTCTCTTCACTGTCTTTACTCATTCACTTCTCCCTCTACCTAATCTACTCTTTATCCTCACTACAACTGTAAATCCCTCTCTCAATCCATGTTCTTGTAGTCCATCTCTATTTAGTGACTATGCAGTAGGTACTTCATAAAACACTTACTGGATGGACTGTCTAGGCTTAAAAAAAAATGTTATCATGTGGTCAGGTCAAGGAATGAGAGTTAAGAGCGAGCCATGAGGCCCTGCAATGTCAGAAAGAAACAAGGGCCTTCATTCAGCACACTGAGAGGATCCCCTCTGGAAGACACTGACAAGAGTCCCAGATGGGCCATCGGTACGGTGGGAGGTAACGTCGATGAGATCCTAGATCTAGCTGAAGGATCCCCAAATGACGGCCGTCTACCTCGTGTCCAGTTATTTGTCATCACCCAAAGTGCTGCCTTCTGTGTTTTCTACCCCCCTGGAGCATATGCCCAGCAGCAGCATCTCTCTAATAAACAGTCCTGACATTTTATTCATTTCTTAGCTTAATTCCAAATTGTTTTCCGTGTCATCTGGGGCAAGTCATTTAACTTTCCTCATTTACAGAAGGAGGAACTGGGAGGTTCTTTTTAGCTCTAACCTGACCATTTGCTGAACCCCGGCTCCTCCCCTCCTCTTCAGTTCTCTGGCCAGCTCAATCATCTGCGTCTGTCTAAGACAAACCAACCGTCAGATCATATCTATTACACTATCTGTCCAACTCTTATCAAAGCGTGAACAAACAAAACAATTCATCCATTTTGTCTTTAGTATGTGGATTCTGAGGCCAAACTCCAGAAAACGGTGCCTGTCCTACGGAAAGTTAACATTCTGAGGCACAGTATGATCCGCACAGTGCCATCTGCAGCCAATGTGAGTACCAACCTATCTGGGGAACTGCAGCAGACATCCCTTATGACTTACTTGGTAAACAGACTTTTACTACATTGGTTCTTCATTCCCTGGTTTTCCTTCAAGTAGAGCTCTGAAGAGTTTTACTCTAACACACATCTCTCTAGAGGGATGAGCAATGAACGTCAGTATGATGGCTAATTTTGGAGAAGCCTGAGCAGAGAATCTCAATGTTAGATGGGCCCCTCAAAGAAACCACCTAGCCCCACAACTTGCCCCACAACAAAAACGATTTGCCTGAAGGCCCCCAGTGAGGAGGAACAGCTACCTGGCCAGGAAGCCCTTCTACTTTGAGGGACTTTCTTCCTCAACTCAAGCCTAGGTTCCGAGTCCTGGCCCTGGTGTCAATGAGCCCTAAGAAGGCACCGGGACAAGAGAGAGAGGAACTACAGATAGAGGGGAGCTGCTTCCGCCTTCTCGCCTTAAATCTTCTCACCAGGTGAGAGATCCCCAGTCCCTTGGCCTGATCCCTTTTCCATGCTGGTTTCCCACCGCTGCATGCTCTAATTCAGTGGCTGAGCTGTGGTTTGACCCAGAAAGATTGGAGTGGAAGAGCCATTTCCCTAACCCTGGCCACCACGCTCTGCCATGCCCTCTCCATGCAGTCCAAGACTGGTTAGCTGTCCTGACGACCACATCCTACTGCTGTTTCATGCTGAACTACCAGGCCAAATGCCAACCCCATGTTGAGATGAATGGCTGTCTAGCCACACTGCCTGAGGCAGGTGGTAACTTACCTTCTGGGAGCCTCGCCGCCCCAACAGCACACATCCACCTAAGAGCACTATTCCTTGAGCTCCCATCTCTCCACCTTGGCCACAAGAATAACATGTGAGAGACCCGTCACTGAATGGTGACGGCCACATAGGGGGTTCAGGCAAACCATCTACATTCATTACCATCCGGTAACCCCATCAACAAAACCAAATCAGGTAGTCCAGCGCGACCTGTATTGGATGACGAGACACCTGCTCCTCCTTGGTGATCACCACCACCTCTTCTAGAGGTTTTCTGAGAGGCTAGGTTCCTGGGCCAATTCAAGACCCCCGTCTCCCTTTCCCCCAACCCGGGGCACGTCTTCCAGGATCTCTCAACGCTCAGGCAGACGGCTGTTTCTTTCAGGACGCAGCTCATCAGATCAGGCAGCTTCAACTCCAAAAGTGGAGTTGGGTGGGCTCTTACTATTTTCTTACTCGTCCTTAGGATCAACGCCCTATCAGTCACTTTTGTTTCAGCCTTGGTTTATTGTCCTTGGCAGAGTGAAGGGAAAAAAATTGCAAAAACAGAGCTGAGCAGCTGCTGGCCACCATCAGTCACCACCTGGTGCGTTCACAACAGAGATCCCACACGGAAGGGCCACTTCTCTTCCTCCACGCAGCTAAAAAAATCACCGTCTGGGCTTTCCGGAGCCTTCCTCAGCTCACTCTGAGCAGGAACTTCACAAGGAACCCTCCCTGAAAGAAAAACTTCAGCCACCTGATCAAATCCCTGCCAGCCCCCTGTCTCTCAGCCAAGGAGTGGGACAGGCTGAACTAGACTAATGAGGCTAGGCACTCAATTCCCTTTGCTTTGTGATAAAGAAAGAAAGGTGAAAAGACAGGAGGAACAGTTCAGGAGGGAATGTGCTTCGGGCTGAAACCTCCCCAAAGTTGCTGCACTTCCGAGGAGCTCACCAGTGGTTCACAAAGGGCAAGTGGACACTCACTACGCACCCTGCTCTTCGTCAGACTCAGAGCACGATCACAAGTTTGGCTGCTGCCAATGGCACAGCTTAGTTCATAGTTTCAACTGACGGGCAGAAAAAGGAACAAACAGGATGGGGGACACTATTACTCAGCAGACGAAGGCTGAGGAGAGAGCTCTGAAAAGGGGCTTCCTAGTAACCCAAAGCGCAGGCACACACAGCACTGTAGGGAATACTGGTTAGCAAACCCTCAATAACAAGCATGCACAAAATACTTGGTGGGTCAGCTTTGCTACAGAACTGCCTACGTCTTGTGGTCAGTGACATCGGCCCTGCTACTGCCTCCGAAGGTCCTTGAGGCCTTGCCATCTGTCCCGATCCCATGCCATCACTGCTATCTAGGACGCCACGTCATCTTAAAGTAACCTAAGGCCTTGTCTGGGCCTTGTCTTCTCTCTCACTGCTGCCCTGGAGGATTCTAGGGACTTGCCATCTCCTCATCAGCTGATCGTTCTCTTATGTGCTGTCCCTTAATGTTCAGGACTGCCTGACAACAGGGACAGCTTCATTCTCTCTCACTCTGTCCCAGCACTGGGCATAGGTGCTTATTCATTCATTCATGGAAATTGAAAAGAAAAAGTCCCCAGCCACGGTTCTAAGAGCAAGAGATGCACCAGGGACCCATCAAGGGGACAGAAGTTGTGATCCACGTGAACTCTGCCACCTACATTCCAACACCTTTAGAACGCTGCCACTCCAAGGAAAGCTTGACCTCCACATCAGGCCTTTTCTCCTTCCTACTGGCTCAGCAGCCGGGGCCTCCTTATTCATCCTGGAATACTCCCGCAAGGCCCAGGTCTGTTCTCCCCTTGGTGAGGGCCTGAGCTGGCCTGCCTTCATTCCTCACCTGGTCCTGTTCCAGACTTTCTGGGGAGGCTCACCCCCCCCCCCCCGCAACATCTCAACGACATGTGATTTCAGAGCTCTGAGGGAACACTCCTTAGAACGTGCCTGTGCACATGCTCTACCCTCAGTGAGCTGTCTGGGGCCCTGAACAGAATGGTCATAGGTGGGAGCAGTGGGGCTTATGCCCGGGGCCAAGAGAAGGAAGTGCCGGCAAACAGCAGGGAGGCATTCATCTCATAGACAGGGTCATGACTGGTAAGTTACTGGCTTACAAAGGGGAGAGAAGCTTTGGACCTTCATGGAGTTTTAGCCTGGTGAGCTATGCTGCATACACAGGGTGGTAAGGTCATGCTCTGATGCCTTCCATGACTCACCAGAACTGATAAAAGGCACGAAGCAACTCCCCGACTGAGAGATGATTAAGATAAAAAACCAAAATTGATTTAGGCATGATCACAGTTTCAGCCAAGCCCTTCAACTGCTCTTTACTGAGCATTTACATGCATTCATTCACCACACATGCAGAGGTGCAGGAAAGGCCTGGAGCCCTGGGACAGGCCAACTCAGGGTCTCTGCGCACACATCACATCCTTTTGTGTATCCCTAGAGCTTAGTGCAGCACTGGCCGGGAAAGCGATGCCTGACTGGACACTTAAGTGAACAATTAAATGCTGCCAAATGCTAAATGGAAAACAGCAATCACAGCATACCAGTGCTGGACAGGGCCTCAGAGGATGGAAGAAAACAGAGGTGAGCCACTTTCTGCAGAACAACTTGTATGGCCCATCACAGCCAGTCAGCCTGGCCACCTTCTCACTGTCTCCCCTGCCCCTGCACCACACTTACCTGCCAGGGTCTCCCGCCTAACTACAGCCACGAGCATGGCCGTCACTCCCAGAAAGGGAGCCCATCGACTCCCCTGGAGCTCCACTTAACACCTGATCACTTTCCAAACCAGAGCCTTCCTCCCTGGCCACAGTACTCTCTGGAGTGTTATCTGCCCTGACTAGAATGTCAGCTTTTGAAGGTGGAGACCACAGCCCAACTCCCAGTAACCCCATGACAAATGCCCATCCACTCATCCACCCATATTCAATAAAGGCTCAGGGGATGAATGGCAGTGACTACTCAGGCCATGACCCTGCATATGCTTACCCCATACGATGCAGCGTTATGTAAAGGAATAAGGCCTCCTTTGTCTTGAGCGTTAACATCCGCTCCATGTTCCAAAAGGTACTCAGCTACTTCCAGGTTATTGTAACCTGCTATAGGAATGAAAAGGGAGAGACATCAGAATACGTGTAGTTGGGAGGATGGGGGGACACGTTTCAAGGAGGGAGGTTTATGGTCTCCTTCAGGCCGCTCCTTCCCTCGGGGAGAACTGCTAACTCACTGCCACCACTCTTTTACACCAAGGTGCACGCTATCTGAGTGGTCTAGCTCAGGCCTCCAACCCCTCTCCTCTGCAGTCAGTCAACAAACACTTTAAAAGCCCTTAACCACGAGCCAGCCCCGGTGCTAAGAGCAGCAGACATACATGTGGTCCCTGGAGGGAAATCCTGGGGCTGAGGGGAGACACGAGTAACTGTGGGGGACAGAAGCAGGTGCTTCAGCTGAGGCTTGAAGGAAGCTGGGATCCTAAGAAGCAGAGGAGGGCAGGGGGACAGCTGGGGCAAAGGCCAGCAGTCAGGAGAGACGTAAAGCGCTCGTGCAAGGAACAACAGACAGGACTAACTGGCCCAGTGTAAAGTGTAAGACCAGCAAAGGAAGAAAGGGCCAGGTGACAAAGGTTTACATGCCAAACAGGGAACTCTGCTTCAGATCCTAGAGGTCAAAGGAAATCATCGGGCACTTACTGAGCAGGGGAGAAGGGAGACACGGGAAGACCTACAGACCTATCCCTCCGGCAGCTTAGTGGAAGAGAATGGGAGAGACGTGAGGCTGGGAGACAAACTGAGGCTGCTAGTCTAGGAGAGACAAGGTGAGGGCTTGAACAAGGGAGGTGGGTGGAGACAAGTGGCATGGCGGTAGTAACGACAAGCTGCAGCAAAGCATGAAGTATGCAGAGTGAGGATGAAGAGCTGAGGACAACACTGAGGCTGCAGGCCGGGGTGTCTGAGAGGACAGCGGTACCTTGAAAAGTCATTGAGAAACCTGGAGAGGGGAGGATTTGAGGGGGAATACTGTGCGGTAAAAAATGATAAAGGGGACGGTTTCAGCAAAACAGGGTGAGACTTTATGAACTGAGGCAAAGTGAAGAGAGCAGAAACAGGACGACGAGGATACGGTGACAGCAATGCCACAAGGGACAGGATCCACTGGGAGAGACATTCTGATCCGCGCCACGAGGCACCACAGCTCCAAAGGACTCGGGACATAAAACGTTGTCCATTTCCAGCTATAAACTGGCAGACTCAGAGTGCAGGCAGACGCATCATTTCCCCCCTTTTCGTTTCTTTTTCTTTTTTGGTACACGGCTCATGTAGAAATGTTTTGCATTAGTGTATATGTACACTGAGCATCAGATTTCCTGCCTTCTCAATGGGTGGGTGGGTGGGTGGGTAGCAGGGAGGCAGAAGGAGGAATAGAGTGTGGAGCTAAAACTAAAAACAAAAGAACGTGAGAGACAAGGGGAAGGAGCCAGCAGAAAGTGGGGAGAAAGTGAATAGAAGAGCAGGGTGACTTGCTGGAGAAGGCAGGAAGGGACTGAACCAAGGGTGCCCATAGAGAGGCCAACCTGAGCAAGGAGAACAGAGAAGAGGCAGCTTGCTGCAAAATGACAATTTTTTTTACTGCAGTAAACGGTGAGAGGGTAGGGTAAGCAGGCACTGTGAGGTGCCAGGAAGAGACCAAGTAGTCTTAAGGTGGTCCCAGTGTGGAGAGGGGCATACTGGATAGATCAGGAACAGAATGGCAGTCTTACAGAATTCAAAAAACTGGCGTGTCTAGCAGACCCCACTGGCATAATGTCATGACTTCTTCTAGCTCACAGCAAGGGTAATGCAGGGGTGGGGGGTGGCATGGCCCTGTTGGTGACATGAGAACCAGGCAGCTGAGAGGGGAGGGCACCACAGAGCCAAGCTGGCTCAACAAGGGGTTGAGACAGGAAAGGAGAGGAGGGGATGACAGCCTGGGAAAGAACTGAGGGGAGGGAAGCATGAGTGGTGAGGACGAAGACCACAGTTAGGGATGACAAGGTGTAGGGAAATGCAGAATGATAAAGCTTATAATCAGAGAAAGAAATTCTGGGGTTCTTGAACATGGAAGAAGAACACTCCTGAGGGATGACCCGGGGCAGTCTGATGTAACTTTTCCCTAAGGTGGACTGATTTGGGACTGGACTTTGGGGAAGGAGTCTTTTCAGGACTTTGTCAGAGGACTCTTGTGGCCCTTGGGAAACTTCCTGGTGACCACTGTCCATTTCCCTGCCCACAGCTTTCATTTTCTTAGGCTGCTTGTAAAGAGGGATACAGGAAGATGTTTTTCTGAAAGAGAATGCTTCTTTCAACCCTCAACCTGAGTGGGAACAACTGCAAAATGGGGCAAGGAAGACTGTCATGAGGAGGGAGCCAGAATATGGAAGCACTGAGAAAAGGAAATCTATTCATGATGTCAGACCGTCACATTCCAGAGGGCTCCACAGAAGAAGTGGGCAGCAGATCTGGAGTGGGCCAGGGTTGAAACAGACAGGAGTAAGGCAGGAGGCAGCTGAGGATGGCAAACAGGGCTGGTACCTTGGTCGCTGGAGGTTTGGAGTCCTAGGCAGAGGGAGGAGGAGGGCCCACTAACGAATGAGTTCATGCACTTGTCACTGGTTGGAGGTACATCTGTCCACGTGCTAAGTAAGGGGCCAGCCATGCGGCATCCTGGGATGGTCGTGGACAGGCCCCTCCTCTCAGCAAAAAGGGGCAGGGGGAGGTCTTCCAGTCTGGTCTGAAGGGATGCGGAGAAGGGCCCAAGAGCACAAGAAGTGGGAAGTGGGGGTGGAGGTCTGAGGCAGGGCAGGTTGTCCTGTCTGGCCCACCAACAGAGCTGGCAGGGCTCTTTGCGAGGTGGGCTGCCTGGTGTTGAAGGCCTTGTGGCGTCTACAACGGCTTCCTCAGCACCTTCTCTTCTTCTAGCCTTCCCCCTGCCCAATTACCCTCCACTCAGCTTTCTTAGTGGATCTTTCTTAGGCACTGCTCTGACAAGGTCACTTCCCAATGTTCCCCCATAGCTGCTGGAATCAATCCTTCTTCCATGTCCTGGCACCAACAGCTCTTCCCCTTTTGCTCCAAGTCACCTTCCTTCCTACAGTATCTGGCCCTTTCTAACACTCTGTGCTGCAGCCCCCCCCCAGTGGTGTCCTGCCCTCTCCCCCTCCCCCCCCGGCCTGTCCTCCTCTCCACGTCCCCTGAGAAGGCAGGTCCGAGCACAGGACCAAGGATAAAGATGCAGATGAAGTAAAAGTAGAGCCTTCAGAAGGGTCTGCTGAGGAGCAGCAAGGAATCATAGATAGAGAGCTAGCTGTGAGGCAGGAAGGAAGCCCTGGGGTCCAACCCTGCCTCCTCTGACACCCCCATCCTGGCCGGGTAAGGCACTTTCCCCCTGGGACTTCCCGCAGTTCTCTAGGACTAGCCTGTGCTTCCTGCTACACAGACGGGCCAGTCCCTGAGGGAACTCACCTGCCAGATGCAGCGGGGTAGAGTTTCTGCCCTGGGTGTCTCTGCAGTTGATGTTGTCGGGCGTGCACAGCTTCTGTACTCGGGCCAGGCAGCCCTTCTTGGCGGCGTCCAACAAGGCGGCGTCTCCTCTGAGCAGGTCCTGGATGTCAGTGTCTCCTTCCTTCACCAAGTCCAAAGGAGTGTTACCATCTCTGTTCTTCTTAGTTGGGTCTGCTCCATGCTACCAAGCAAGAGGGAAACACAATGGCAAAGAATTGGAAACTAAGAGGAGGCCCATCAACTGGGGAATGGCTGAGCAAGTTGTGGTATATGAATGTAATGGAATACTATTGTGCTAGAAGAAATGAAGAACAGGCTGACTTCAGAAAAACCTGGGAAGACTTGTATGGTCTGATGCTGAGTGAAGCGAGCAGAAACCAAGGGGCCTTTGTACACAATAGCAGCCACGTTATGCAATGACTAAGATTGTTAAACTGAACCCTTCTCAGCATTACGAGGATCTAAGACATCTCCAGAGGCCTCGGGATGGAAAATGCTGTCCACATCCGAAGAAAGAACTATGGAAGTCGAATCGCTATCACTTACTTTTACCTTCTGTTGAGTTTTGTTTCATCTTTCTGACGGTTCCTCCTATTGGTTTTAATTTTTACTTACAACTTCACTAATGTGAAAATATGTTTAATGGGTATGTAAATGTAAAGCCTATATCAGATTGTGCGCCGTCTTGGGGAGGGTGAGAAAAATTTTCAACTCAAAAGCGTATGGAAGTGATTGTTGATAAATCAAAATAAATTAATAAAATTCAAAAAAAAAAAAGAGGGAAACACCCACCGTCGCCTTCGCTCCTTCACTGATTTTTGTCCCAAGCTATACAACTCCTTCCACCTCCAAATCTTACTGGGAAAACCATCCATCTCAACTGCGATGCTCTCTGCATCCCTCAAGAATACCGGGAATGTCCTCCACGTGACTGCTGCTACCTTTGGCTCAAGCTCAAACATCTCAATCAACCTTTAGGTCTGTGGGCTGCACCTGGTGGTCAGCAAGGTCTGAGTTCAAATCTGTCTCTCAGTCCTTCCTTCCCATCTGGGGGTCACTTAAATGAGAGGACACTGTCAGCTGCTCTGCAAACTTCCTCCTGGAATGTGAATGGGAGCTATCAGGATCATCAGCATCAACCCAAAGCAGAGCTTCCTCCTCTGCCCCCGGGCATCAAGGCTGGAGCTCCTACCCTATGGCTTCTGCCCTCCGAGGGACGGCCTAACCATCCGTCACGGGTACGGAACGCTACGTGTTCAAGAGCCAGACCAAAAGAACAGCAGACAGCTCCCTGATCTGATGTCACCGTGCCCTGGCCAGAGGGTTTCCTCCGAGGCCCCTCCCTGCACTTGAACAGAGATTCCTATGGCTTGTTTTTGCTGAAATCCATGTATCAGTGGCAGGGGTCAGGGACTCCCTCGAGCAGGCACCTTGATTAGCTCTCTTCCTCACCATGCCACCCACAGGGCTGAGGACGAAAACAAATCACAATTCCCGGTCACTACAGAAACAAGTGGCTGACTGGAAACGGTCTGACCGGCCCTTTCTAGGAGAGGCAAGACGTAGATCACTCGGTCCAGCAGTAGCAAGGACAGCACCACTGTGCCCCACCCCCAGCTGTGGCCTGTAAGAGCTGTGCACACTTCCTCCAAACCACAGAAGAGAGAGGGCACGGGAGGGCTTACTTAGACAGCTCCATGCACAAAGTCTAAAATGACGGGCACGTGTCACGTTCTCCAGCTGGGAGGGGCCAGACGCGAAGGATGGCTGCACCTCGTTTTGAGTCTCTCTTTGATACAAGTATAGCATTAATAATTTATTCCTCTGGTAGGACTCGTTTGTCCAATTTTATCAACTTCTGCAGCAGCTAGGTGGTGCAGTGGATAGAGCTCCGGCCTTGGAGTCAGGAGGACCTGAGTTCAAATCCGGCCTCAAACACAGAACACTTAGCTGTGTGACCCTGGGCAAGTCACTTAACCCCAACTGCCTCACCAAAAAAACCCCAAACCACCCAATTTTATCAACTTCTTGTTTCAAAACAAATTCACCTAAAATCCACAAGAATCTGTGATTTGCAGATATTATGCTTCCCAATATGAAGTCACAAGAGTAAACTCAATTAGAGTTTAGGCTGTCAATAAGAAAAGCTATACATCTGATTTCACTGGGCACTTTCTGGTTACTTTTTTCTTAATCTGTAGCAAGAAATTTTCTGGTATTTCTATCAGAGACACAGAAGATTAGAGAGCTAAGAGTGCCACTCACTTTAATGAATCCTATTGAGGTAAACATGTTCAAACTCTGTAATTTGGAAGGACAACTCAGATATTACAAGGAACACGATACCACGGGAAAACAGGCTTCTATAATATTAAATGGAAGCAAATTTTACAGAAATCATACTTCAAAAATAACAAATACACACCAAGCATCTGAAAGCACCGCACAAGTAAATGCCAGTGACTTGTGACCTGGCGATGGGCTGGGGGAGAAGCGCGGCGCGCAGCGTACCTTCAAGAGAAGCTTACAGATCTCGTATTTTCCTTTAGCGGCTGCTTCATGCAGAGGAGTGAACTTCCACAGGTCGGCGACATTGACAGACGCCCCGTGTCTCACTAAGAGCTCTGCCACCTCATAGTGGCCGTAGGAGCAGGCATTGTGGAGGGGCACCAAGCCACTGGTTGGGGGGGAGAAAGCATTTTCAAATTCACAGAACAAAAAGACAGCTCCTAAAATACTATATACACACACACACATAAAACAAACATATACAGATGAGACAGAAAGGATTTCAGTGACTGTTCCCCTCATTTTACAGATGAGGAAACAGAGGTCCAGGAAGGGGAAATGACCAAGGTCATAGTCTGAGGCAAGATTTGAATCCAGGTCCTCAGAGTCTGCAGCCAGGGCTCTTTCCACTGCATTGGGGCAGATTATTTGTTTTTCCCTATCCTCTCTACTCCGAATGGGCCCAAAATACAGATTATTTATTATTCAAAGATAAATTTTAAAAACTCTCTTTTTTCTCTGAGTTTCCAAGGAAAGGTTATTATTAGTCTTGTTGAAAACAACGAACTCACAATGGAACCTAGTGAGATCCACGGGCCAGCCATCACGGCTGCTATGAGGCTGGCCACTCCTTTCCTCCTCGGCTCTGCAGGCTTTTCAGTGCTTCCTTGTACCGCTTCTCCTGCAGAACCCACCAGCTGCTGCGTGGTGCCCCGCTCCCACCCACCAGCTGCCTCTTGACCTTGCGTTTTGGGTGAGCCGCCACTTCCTTCGGACCCTGGCACTTCTTGCCTGGGATCACCAGATAAAACAGGGGTGCCTCTTCCAATGGGAAATGTGGGGTCACTGAGAGAGCTTTGAAATTTCCCGCAGAGAAGCCACTCTCCTTCTCTTGTCTTGTGGGTCTGGAGCACCAAACGCTTGGACATCCTGTCCCAGAGACTCGCACTGATGGGTGAGCTCCAGAGGATGTCGGAGCACCCCAGACCTGCTTTTCCTGGTGGTTTTTCTTTGGCTCCTTCTCTCTCTCTCTCTCTCGGTAAGGCTGCATTCTTCTGAGTGGTTATAGACCTCATCTGGAAGGCTCTGCAACGTTCCAGGCTGGATGCAATGGACACGTGGCCTTGTCATCCACAATCAGGTGCAGGTGGAGGACCTCACAATTTATAGGGACTCTCTGTTTCATTTGGAATCTCCTTTACAGCTTCAAGAAAATGAAAATGCTGGCTCAGGAGGAAGGGACCCCATCCCTACAGGCCTTCAAGTGGAGGCCGAATGACCAGTCAGCCAGTCAATTCTTCTTCTTCTTTTTTTTTTGAGGCAGTAAGAGTTAAGTGACTTGCCCAGGGTCACGCAGCTAAGTGTCAAAAGCTGGATTTGAACTCAGGTCCTCCTAACTCCAAGGCTGGAGCTCTATCCACTGTGCCGCCTAGCTGCCCCGCAGCTAGTCAATTCTTAAGCAGGTTGGGACTGGAATCTGGCCTCAGACATGCACTGTGTATGTTCCTCAGTTTTCCCATCTCATCCATAAAATGGGAATGATAATAGCATCTACCCCTGAAAGTTGTTTTCAGGATCAACAGAGATGATCTTTGTAAAGTGCTTTGCACGCTGCCCAGCACAAAGTCAGCTGCTATTATTATTACTAATATTATTATTACAATGCTCCAGGTGCAGTGCCAAATACCAGAGATACAAAGAAAGTCAAAAGTATGGTCCCTGCCCTCAAAAAGCTTGCATTCTGACATGAAAATAAACGTGTACACACAATCAATAAACACTCTACGACATACCTACTGGGTGCCAGGCACTGCTAACTGCTGGGGCACAAAAAAAGGCCAAAGACAGTCCCTGCCCTTATGGAGCTCACAATCTGATGGGGGAGAGAACGTGCAAACAAACACCCACAAGGCAAGCTCTCGATAGGATAATCAGGAAATGAGGAACGGAGGAGCAGGACTTGGGGAAGGGACCCAAAGGAAGCCACGGGGGTCAGCAGTCAGGGCAGAGGAGAGTGTCCCAGGCACCAGACAGCCAGCGGTGATGCCCAGAGGCAAGAGAGGGAGTGCCTCGTGGGGGGCCCAGGCACTGTCTCTAGTCTCCCTGACCACTTGCCCCTGGGTCCCAACTAAAACCCCATTTTTTCCAAGAAGAAATCCCTTTGTTATCTTTTGCCTCTTTTTGTAGTCCCAGCACTCGGCACAAAGCAGGTTAATAAATGTTTATTAATTGACTAATATAGGCAGCTGGCTGGCCTAGTGGGAAAAGCACTGGGCCTGGATCCAGTCAGAAAGACCCCAGGCAAGCCACTTCACCTGTCTGCCTCATTTCCCTCAACTTCTCTTTCTGTGTGCATGTCTCTCTCCCTTTCCCCCTTTCCTGCCATCACTCAAGCTGACCATCGGGCTAGCAGCCTCACATCCCATTCTCTTAGCCTGCGTGGTGCAGTGAAAGGTTACGAGCCGAATGGAACTGAGGCACACCCACCAGCAATCCGAACGCACAGAGTCAGAGGGCACACAGCAGGCGATCTCTCTGTACGCCGCGGGCTTCTGAACCGGTACCACAGGATCGTTCTTCCCAGCTTTAAGAATTCCAGACCGAGAGCTGAGGCCACGTCCATCGCTGGAGATGGTCTGCTCTGGTACCAACTCTGACTAGACGCTCTTAGGTGGTGGCGGAGAAGATGGGGAAGAGTTAAGTGCTGCGGATTTCTACCAACACAGCTGTGCCAGTATCTCTGGAAGGTGTCCGAACCAAGGGAGGAAACAGCTTTTCATTAAGAGCTGCTCACAAGTGGTAATCCTGCTTCCAAGTTAAGATGACAAACGGGGCAGGCTCCTATTTCGCTTGCCAGCAAACAAAGGCCATTTGCTCTCTGAGGCACAATGGTGCCCAGGGCATCATGCTGGCGAGGTGAAATAGGTTTGTTATGCTTCAGTCTGAGGCAAGTGTGGAGAAAACAAGAATCCCCAAACCCTCCCTCCCTCCTCCTCTTCCTCCTCTCAGGAGACAAATGGGGGATTGTGCATCAAGATCTTGTCAGAACAAATCACTTTATTCACTGGGCTTTGCTCATAAATTTCCTTGGCAGTGGAGGAAAAGCATCAGCTTACCATAGTTAGTCATTTCAGTTAAGACTACCTCCCAAATGTTCAGAGGCAAGAAGGGACTTTTTTTCCCCCTAACACCTTATAGATTTGTTTATGTTATACGTGGTCAAATAGTTTATTATATTAATATTAGGGGGAAATGGAGAACCCTTACCTAGAAAACAGTCACATGATCAATATTACCCTTAAGCTGAGACTTAAGTCTTCAGGGGACAGCAATGCGCTCTCTGAGCACTACTACTAAGAACATTGCTGTTTCTCGTATAACAGGGACAGATTTGTGATTTCACTGGCATCGGAGCCCCGGGGTGAAGATCCTCTCTCCACCAATGCAGGTCTATACCTCAGGGGCCTGAGAAGTCAGTGCCTTGTTCAGAGGCCGGGCCTTTGCCCCACGTCCTCCACCCCATCAGGGCACCTCAACACTACTCCAGTCTAACAGAATCCATATGAACACTTCACATAACTTCCCCTCTATTAGGAACATGATACTTGTGTGAAATAGCCTAAAAAACCAAATGCACACTGAAAACTGCACCAGCAGCTGGCCTCTGGTGGATTAAGGATGGGAATACTGAACAGACAGAGAGAGATGCCAACCAGGAAACCCCCAAGAAAGTCCCGCTCCGCGGCCCCGAGGAGCCCATTCCGAAGCCGCGCGTGACACCTACCCCTTGTCTTTGGCGTGAACGTCTGCTCCGTGATGTAGGAGGAACTCAACCACAGACACCCGGTTGTAGCCGGCAGCAAAGTGAAGGGGAGTCGAGTGGCGGCCTTCTAAATCTCGGCAGTTCACATTCTGAGGGCTACAAAGTTGCTTGAGGGAGAAGGGAGGGAAATGGAGCAAAGACGTGAAAAGAGCAGCATTTAAATTTCAATCTTAGATTTACCTCTATAACACTACAGAGTTTTTGAATAGATTATCATATTTCCTAGCAAAGGCTTTTCCCCACAAAAAATGAGTTAATAAACTCACCATTTAAAAACTGATCCCCTGAATCACAATCCCTAGAGAATCTCTCCTATTTCCCTGGCAGTTCTTTCTTGTCCTAACCCAACCCCTTCTGGGACCACGCGCCCACTCCCAGCTCAGGCACAGCCGCCCCCAATCACCCCAAGGCTGGAGGGGAGCCTTGGTCATCTTGACCTGGCTCTGACTTGCCCTGGCCACCTAGGGGGGGTCTGGCAGGCTAGGCTGACCCAGCCCTGTCCATCCAAGGATGTATTTTGTCCTATATAATTTCGAGATGTTAAGAACGGCATTTTGTAACTTGGGCAAAGGGCTGACAGAGCTGAGGTCTGAGAGTTCAGTTCTATTTGGGCCCTACAACTGACCAGAAACGAACCAAACAGGACGACCTCCCCCCCCACTCTGTGCATTTGGAGCTTTCTCTCCCTTCAGGGGTCTTGACTGGTTCTACACATGCCTTCCTTTCCTCTCCTTCACACGTCCTCCTGTTCCAGTCTCTATTTCTCTTTCTTCTTCTGACCCTTGTCAAGTACAGGTCAAATGACCACAATGAGGAACAATACCCTATGCCTGTCTGGCACTCTACGGTTTGAAATGCACATTGTTCGATACTAGGTCCACACAGCTACAATTAAACAGTCTAAAGAGCTCTTCCAGATCACAATCATCAACACTAGGGGATGCTGGTTCAAAAGCAGAGAGGCCAACCAATGGACCAGACTGGGTAAGGAGCAGTCAGAAACAGACGACTCCAATAACTTGGTGATCAGTAAACCTGAGGAGACAAATTTCTTGTGGAAAGGACTGCGTCTGACAGGAACTGCTGGGAAAACGGGAAAGAGGCCTGGCAGAAGCGAGATGGAGACCGACCTAGTAGACTGTATGTCCTAATAAACTCAGAATGGATACGTGACCTGAATACTAAGACGTCCCCTAAACAAAGTAGACAAGAGGGTCTGAGCAGGTCCCTTTCACCATGGTGGGCAGCAGCGGGCTTCTTGATCAAACCAGGCACTCAGGCACTCACAAATGATGAAGTGCGTGAAATGGAGAAGCTTTTTTTCCAGAACCAAATCAGTACAACCAGAATAAAAGTGGAAAACAACGTTTGCATCCCATGTGTCTGATAGCCAAAGGAGACAGGCAACTCCAAAGAGCCCATTGTGTACAAGTGGTCAAAAAGAGATGGCAGATTAGGCTTCAAGAGAAGTATTTCAAACTATCTAAGATGGCTCCAAAGCATAAATAATAAGAGGTGGAAATCAAAACTGGTAGGGCTGACAAAGGATGTCACCTGCTGATGCCGAGGGGCTGACACACGGGCAGAAGAGCTAGCGACCGCCCAACGCTCTGGAAAGCAACTGCAGTCTCCACACACCTGAACCCCAAGACCTGACTGCGGGCACATATGTCAGAGGCCAAAGACAGAAGGGCCAGCTCCCAAATCTGGAGAGCAGCACTTTCCGGAGTGGTAGAGAAAGGGAAACCAAGCGGATGCCCATCAGCCAGGACAGGGGTCCACAAACAGCAGCTCACCAATGGTGAAGTGCCACAAGAAATTCTAATCATGAATCATTTGGAGAAGCAGGAGGAGACCTCTCAGCTAACTCAGGCCTGCCAAAGGATTTCGGGCGGCCCAAAGAAACATAGAGGAAATCCTCCGAGTGAAGCAATAAGCCCCAGCAGCAACAAAAATATAAACGCAGAGAACAGAGGGCAGAAGAGAGAACCTGAATGCCCCTTCTTCGCAGTGACTAAGCAACGTGCCCAGTCACGTTGTACTTCTATATGTGTCTGTGGGTTTTCACGAGCCTTTCTTCTTCATTCTTTGTTATAAGCAACGGCTCCCCGGTAGAGGGAGGAGTCACGACTGCACGTGGAGACACAGGCGTCCACACAAACCACACCGTCCAAACGGCTTCCCTCCATCTGGCACAGGCGCGCAAAGACCACGAGGAAAGGGCTTGGGCTGGCCGGGGGGTGGGGAGGGAAGGGTCATTGTTCGCAATCCCTCTCGTACCCTGCTTTAGACCAGAGGGGAAAGGGAGAGGACGAATGAAGGAAGAAAAGCCACAGGAGCATGATGAAACCCAGAACCTCAGGCACACCCAAGGGAAGAGGAAAGAAGACAGAAGCTCTTCTCAAGGGCCTTCTACGTGCCAGGCCTCGGCTGACCACACCAACGAAACACGGGGCAACTGGAGGAGGGGCACCAGCCTCTGAAGAATCTGGGCTGATTATGGACTCATCACACAGGAAAGACCTGACACTTGGGCTGGATGCACAGCGGTGGGAAGAGAAGCAGAGTCCGTTACAGACAAGGGACACACGCAGTACTGAGGCTCTGGGGAGGTTGTGGTGCACAATGAATAACACCTGGGGAAGCAGTCCGAGCCATACCATTTATTAGCAAAATAGGCATAACACAAGGTTCTCTGGAGTCACTGCTAATTCCATCCCCACAGGGGAAGCCCCTCCCTACCCCAGAAACCAAAGTGAGGAAACTGACGGACCCACGTGGACGCCATCTTGGGACTCCATTCTGGATCTAGCTCAGCTCACTTTCTATTCAATTACAGATCTAGTCCAACTCTGATCTAGTGAGAAAACTTTCTTGCATTGTTTGAACCTCGGCCTGTGCTGCTGGAAAGCTGGACCCCTTCTCTCTGCTGCTCAGAGACCCTTAACTGGGGACGCAGGTTATGGTGAACAGAAACTCAACCAGATTTGAAGACTCAGGCCTGGGGTTTTCTCACAGTTACATATCTCAAGCAACCCATAGGTCTTACCTGAAAACTGGCCCCACACCGGTCAATCGGTTACTGCTTCCGTGTTCCTTTGATTGAATACAGATATCTGGAAGGACTGGGCTGCTTCCTTCTCTGATTTCGGGGAGCTGTACTTGTTTACTCTCTCTTTCCCAACCTGGAATGTCCCTAATCTTTCCTCCCGCTAGAAATCGGATCACCTAATCTCATATCCGGCTTTGTAGTCTGCTTATTGTCATCTTTTAGTGCATAAAGATCTGTCTCCTCCTATATTCAGGGCCCAGTACCAGAGCTGAGGAGGCCTGGACCTGACTGGTCACACTCTCGGCACACATTGCTTAATAAACCAACATGCTCAGAGGTTCAAACCTTGGTTTCCTCAGTCAATTCACAAGACTCGAGAAGTACCTGTGATGGCTGAAGAAGAGCCAAAATGTCAACTCGACAAGATCAAAGGGTGCATGTGAAGGGGATCAGTATACAGGGCTGGCAGAGTAACAGGCCGGGAGCCAGCCAAGAAAGGCTCTGAATGCCACGTGCGTCAGTTTGCATTGAATCCCAGAGGCAGGAGGGAGCCAAAGAAATTCTTTGAGCAGGAGAGCGACCCGGTAAGATCTGTGCTTTAGGAAGATTGCTTTGCCAGCTGTGAGGAGGAGACCCATTAGAATCAGGCTGCTGCAGAAGTCTGCGTGAGAGATGCTGAGGGCTGGACCAGGGCAGCAGCCATGGGAGTGTAGACAAAAGATACTGTGGGAACAGGTTCAACAAGACTAGGCAACTGAACGGAGACGCAGGGGAAGGGAGAGGGGGAGCGACCAGGAGTCAGGTGAGTGACAGAAAGAACAAGCAAGCTCTCTTCTGCCTCTTCTGCGTTGAGGTGATTATGTCTGAAATGTCCAAGAGGTGGCGGGTGAGGCAGGACTGGGAGTCAGAAGATGCTTAGGGGAAGGGAAAAAGCAGTTATGAAGCATGCACTACGTGCACCGTGCTAAGGGGTTTACAAAGAGGACCTCATCTGACCCTCACGACAAGGCTGGGAGGCAGGTGCTGTTGCTATTCCCAATTTACGGCTGAGGATTATACAAGACCTGCAGAAGCAGCCAGGGGAAGAGCGGACCACGGGCAGACTGAGAAGGCAGGAGCCCCACCTCCAGCTCTTTCCTGCCCAGGGACACTGGGCCTGTCACGTAATCGAGGGATGTTGGGAGGGTCAGAGGGAGACAAGGTCCAGAGACTACTCTGCAAACCCTGATGATGATCACTGACATTCTTCTAGTGCTTCAAGGTTTGCCATGATACACACGGAAGGGTGCAATGCTGAACTGAATGCCTGAGCCCTGGACAAAGCACTGAAGAAGGCAATCTTCAAAAAAGAGCTCACAGTAAGAACTGGCCAGCTAAACACCACATAAACTTTTGGGCTGCCTTAAAAATCCTGATGTGTAAAAGAACCAAGTGGTCAAATATTACACAGTCGAGTCAATCAATTTTCATTGAGCCCTCACTATGTGCCAGGGACTGTGACAAGGAATGGAAAAGGGTCTAACTTTTCACTAAATAGACTGATGGAGGACTTGTGATTTCTAAAATACTAACTTCAGAGAATGTACAGATGCATCTGTTACCACGACTCGGTCCATACCATCTGTAAACAGGACTTAACTGTAGTTGAAAGTGGTACATTTAGAAGATAAGAACTGGAAACTAGGAAAATAAAATTTACCGCAAGTTTCTCTGATAGAAACCTCATTTCTCAAATGTAGGAAATGGAACCAAATTTATGAAAAATAAGAGTCATTCCTCAGTTGATAAATGGTCAAGGGATAGGAACAGGTAGCTTTCAGAAGAAATCAAAGCTATCCCTCCTTACATTTAAAAATGCTCCAAATACTACTCATTAAAGAAATGCAAATTAAAACAACTCCGAGGTATCACCTCACACCCACCAGAATGACTAACATGACAGAAAAGGAAAATGACAAATGTTGGAGAGGATGTGGAAAAAACTAGGATTCAAATTCACTGTAGGTGGAGTTGTGAACTGGTCTAATCGTTCTGGAGAACAATTTGGAACTATGT